CGGGGTGGCGGAGGCCTTTAGGTGGGCGTATAGATCAGAAATTAGATTTCCCTCTCTTCTAGTTTTAAATTTAATGACTAGTTATGTCAGCAGCACAGGCCAATTTCTATACCCACTCTTCATCAGACATTAATGGCTGTAGCTAGCCTTTACTTTCCAGGAAGTTACCTATTTCCTTTCTTAACTTAAATACTCTGCTAAGAGTTATATCACAAGAGCCATCTTACTACTCTGTATTATGGTACATTTTAAGATTCCCTGTCTGTATCTCTCAACGTGTCATTGAATTGTCTATGGTTGAGCCCGTGTAACCTAATGAAATTCTCCATCTTCAAATTTTCCGTGGACAAAGGGATCTCCGCGGGCCGGATGAGAGGACCTCGCGGGCAGTGTTTCTTCCAGACTTTTTTCTCCGGGGGGGGGGGGGGGGGGGGTGGGACGGACACTTTTAAAAGTATATATTTTCTATATAAATAATATAAATTTAATTTCGTTCGGGGGGGGGGGGGGGCGGTAAAATTTTTTCGGGGGGGCTTCGGCCCCCCGAAGAGATGCCTGGAAGAAACTCTGCTCGTGGGCCGCATCCGGCCCGCGGGCCGTAGTTTGGAGATCCCTGATGTAGCGGAAAGCGGACGGCCTGTGATTACAAACAAATAAAGGAAAACAATTTACTTGATCGCTATAGAGTGATATATTTAAAGTGGTCATCATCTAAATTAATTATATTAAAAAATTAATAAATAAATTTCATTTTCTATACTTATTGACGGCATGTGCATTAAACAAAATTAAAGAAAATTTATCATCCTTCATAAAAATTCTAATTGTGTCTGAAAATTATTTACTTTTAGTCATTTAGCACTCATTACGTCCCTTAATAAATTAAAAAAAAAACAACCCACAATTACTTCCCTTTTAAAAACATTACATCGGGGAATTTTTTTTACTTTAAATTTCTTTTTAAATCGATTACATAATTAGCGTGGATTGATCAAGTGAAATGTGGTAAGAAAAACACAGATATTTTAATTTTTGCCTTTTATTTATTTTATACACTGAACGTACTGTTTACTAATAAAAAAATCAATACTAGCTTAGAAGCCAGCTCCTAAATGCTCTCTATGTTTAATTCTATCTTTCCGTTTGCGGATAAGCTTGGGGTATTATAGTCGACTAAATTGAATCAGGAGCGTTCGCTGGCGCCCCGACAGGGTTCAATTTTGGCGCCCTGAGCTATCCTATGAACGCTATGGTCAGTGCCGGCGCCAGGTAATATAGCGCCCTAGGCAAAACGTATCAAAACGCCCCCCCCCCAACCGCAATATATATATATATATATATATATATATATATATATATATATATATATATATATATATATATATATATATGTATATATATATATATATATATATGTATGTATATATATATATATATATGTATGTATATATATATATATATATTTATATATATATATATATATATATATATATATATATATATATATATATATATATATATATATATATATATATATATATATATATATATATATATATATAAATATATAAATATATAAATATATAAATAAACATATAACTAGCCTTGATATCGACATTATACGAAGTATCTCTTACATTCTCCCAAGTCCGAACTACCTAGCTTGCATACCATAACAACCCATTCCTATGGCAAAACTTCACTCTCTTTTATCTGCGTAATCATGCATTTGTCATATCTCTCGCATCAACATTCATTCGCACCAAAATACCCCGATAAAACATACACCATAACAATTTTGTATTTAATATTATTTCATCATGACGCACCTACCTACCTAATTACACACATAAGACCTATATATATATATATATATATATATATATATATATATATATATATATATATATATATATATATATATTCGCTGGCGCCCCGACAGGGTTCAAGTTTGGCGCCCTGAGCTATCCTATGAACGCTATGGTCAGTGCCGGCGCCAGGTAATATAGCGCCCTAGGCAAAACGTATCAAAACGCCCCCCCCCCCCAACCGTAATATATATATATATATATATATATATATATATATATATAATATATATATATAAAATATATATTATATATATTATATAAAATATATATTATATATATTATATATATATATGTATATATGTATATATATATATATATATATATATATATATATATATATATATATATATATATATATATATATATATATATATATGTATATAAAATATATATTATATATATTATATATATATATATATATATATATATGTATATATATGTATATATATATATATATATATATGTATATAAAATATATATTATATATATATATATATATATATGTATATATATGTATATATATATATATATATATATATATATATATATATATATATATATATATATATATATATATATATATATATATATATATATATAACACAAGTGGCTTTCGGGCATTTGTCGCATTCGGGCAAGTGTCCTTTCGGGAAATCGGCCTTCATGCAGTCGGCATTCGGGCAAGTTTCTTTCGGGGAAACGTCTGGCTCCCCACCGAAATAGATCATTACGCAAAGTTAATAATTTTTAGGTACTTTTTAATAATGGCGATTACACATTTTTGCGCCCCCTTTTGACAGCGCCCTAGCTAGCGCCGGCCCTGGCTATGGTGCATAATATCGTTTTATACAGTGCGATAGACTATGGATAAGCAAGGTTACTGAATCGAATCCGGCGCCCCAAAAGGGTGTCATTTGGCGCCCCGGGTGTTTAAGTGAATGCATAAAACTATGAATAACTTGGGGTACTATAGTCGTTTACTAAGTTGAATCAGGCGGTTCCGCCGGCGCCCCAGCTTGGTGTGATTTGGCACCTTGAGCTAGACTGTGAACACTTTGCGGTTCTTTGTGTTTGGGTTTGTGGTTGGGTTTGTGTTTTTATTTGGGTTTGTTTTCGTTTGCTTTTTTGTTTGCGTTTGTGTTTCCGTTGTGTTTGTGGTTAGGTTTGTGTTTTCGTTTGTATTTGTATTATGTTTGCGTTTTTAAGTGTGTTTTGGTTTTTGTTGGTAGTGGTTAGGGTTAATTCGAAAAGTAATATATTTCCTAAACCCGGGCAAAGCCGGATTTATGCTGATTACTAAACACACTAGTCACGGTCCTTTAGATAGGCTTTCCACAAAGGCCAGTGCATGGCCTGGCCGGCTATTTTATATATATATATATATATATATATATATATATATATATATATATATATATATATATATATATATATATATATATATATATATATATATACACACTTTGTTTCTTGGGGGTGACACCACGAAGGGCCGCACCGGGTGACACCCGACCTAGCGACGCCACTGGGTACCCATGGCCTATTATTGTAAAGAGGAAGTATTAAATTTAAAATTAGTACAACAAATGGTATTTTCAGAAACTTTCAAGTATAAAATAATTTGAGTTGATCAATATATCTAAAACAGACAATAATATGAGCATAGAACATAAAAAGAGCAGCTTGCGGTTCGCGACCGTAGGTTGCCGACCCCTGAGCTAGACCCTACAACTTTGCATCAGCTGTGTCGCAGGGGTTGTCGACAGGAAACCAATCTTCTATATATATAATTCTCTTCTGGGAGACGCTAGAAAACAAGCTGTAAACGCGCTCCCTACCACCCCCACCCCTACATGGCCTGGTGAGCTGTGGTTCACTCTAAATGTTTACAGAGCCGGGTTTAGTGACGACTATTAGGGGCAGATAATTTATTTTGAAACGATTTTAAACGTAGTGGGGGGGGGGGGGTAACTAAGTGGAGTTTACTTTAACGGAGGGGGATTATCGTCCTTAACGAGCTACTTATAGTGTTTTAAAGAAATATTTTCAGTGGCAGCGTTGGTAGTGTCGAATTCACAAATTATGAATACTGAAAAGTAGATAAAACAACAACTAAATAGCGGCGTATGATATGCCGCGGCTCGGCTCGTGTTATTAAATGTAGGTTTTTGCTTGACCCACTTTTTTTTTTACCGTCGTCATGGTACATGTTTTAAAATCTAGTCTAGTCGCTGAAAATATCCAGTAGAACATAATAAAAGTAAGTAAGCAAAACGTGAATTGCTTTATTAATTTAATATTGTTCTAACCGTACTGAAAATATATATAAGCAATAGAAAAATTATAACTTGCTTTCTATTAAACAAATGTCATTAATGTTTTAAAAATCATGCAGGGTAAAATAAAAACCTTTAAAAAATAACTTGATCGAGACAACAGCTAGCTAAGCCCGCCCATTTTCACCCGGGAGAAATCTAGCAGACGACACATTTCTGCTGAACAGCACTGAACCATCATTCGCGTCACAAAAACACTCCTTTTAAAAAACTAACCCACGGTATCACTGACAATCGGTCTATCGTAGCCATTTAAAAACAAACGCGTTTTTTCACAAATCATTTTCTAGGCTACCGATTAAATCGGATAAATAAAATTGGCATCAAATTAAAGGTAAATAAATGTAGTTTTTAATGTTTAAAGTTAACATGAACAATGATGATAATAATGAAGTTTAAAATCTTAGGCGACACCCTAGTATTAAAAATAACTCTAGATCTAGATCTAGATCTAGATCTAGACTAGTAATCCTGCAAGGGGCTCTACTCCTGTTTTGAAAATATGACATTGTCCCTATTCAAACTTTATTACTACTAGATCTAGATCTAGTCTAGACTCTAGATCTAGATCTTCTAGAAGTCTTGGATTATAGATCTAGATTCTAGATCTACAACACACGAAGTAGGGGCCTACTAATTAATTACTATTTACTATCCTTCTAGATCTACCCTCAACAGCGGTCTCACTCAACTACACTAACTACACTACACTGGACTTTGACCCAGGCGCGATACTAGATTCTACTACTGATCTATATCTAGAATCTAGATCCCTAGATCTAGAATCTACTTACTACTACTAGATCTACTTACTACTACTAGAGATCTACTATTAGATCTAGATCTATTCTAGTAGTACTAGATCTATAACTATAGTATTCTAAGCTAGATCTATAACTTATATATTATATAGATCTAGATCTAGATCTAGTAGGACATAATAATTATTAATAGGCATAGGGTTTCTAAAGGGCAAAGGCTAAAGAAGGCGTAATCTTGAGTGGTCTTAATTAATAATAAATACTAAAGTGACTAAAGACTAAAGAGTGAGAGTCTTTACTACTCTTTACCAAAGACTATAGTATTAATAGTATAGGCCTAGTCAAGTCTAGTGGTAGATTTTAGTCTAGATCTAGATTTTGTTTAGATCTAGATCTAGATTCTCTAGATATAGAAGAAAGTAATACATTTTAAAAAAAAATCTAGATTCTAGATTTTTTTTTAATCTAGGTGTTAGAGTCCAGAGCTAGATCTAGTTCTTGATCTTCAACAGTAACAGATATTATTATGATATTAAATTATAAAATTAATAAGTAAGTTACTAGTCTAGATGTAATATTACTAATATTAAATTAAATCTTATTAATGTAGATACTATTTAGTAATTTTACTATTACTAACTGTAGAAATCTAACTACTAAACTAGATTTAGAATTCTAAAAAATTCTTAACTATAAGTAAAAGTTAAAATAATCGCAATCCCCCAGTATGGAAATTGCGCTAAAAACTTTATCTAATCACAATCCTCTTTACTCCTTGTGAAGCATATCATAGGCCATAGGGCCTCAACCATAATCTTCCATTTTGTCAGGTCCCCAACAGTTGAATTTGCTGTCTCCCAAAACATCCCTGCTGTCTTCAGTTCTTCAAGAAGACCCTACCACCAGGTCTGACTTAGACGTACTCTCATCCACCTTCCTTGTGAGTTTGACTCAAGCCCCTAGGGTTAGGGTGTTTCACTAACTTATTTCATTTGATATAAAAATAACTACACTTAACACTAACTTGTCAGCATCAGTAGATCTCTATCGATAGTAATCTATACAAGACTCTAATTATATTAATTAAATTGCACCCCTGAATTCATGATGCACAGATTCTGCTGTTAAAATTAGCAGTAGCAGTTGGTTCGTTTACCTCACTATTCAATAATTAACAGGGGTTGGCGTGGTCGAGTCATAAAGCTCATGGTTGCTAAACCGAAAAGTCTTGAGTTCGAACCCTCGGGCAGATGAGGCTCTTTAGCTGGGGACAGCCACTCTTCTAGGAGAGACAACTCCAAAATGAAACAACTGCTGCCTTGTAGTTTGTTCTTGGTTGGACAAAGGCTATGGAAGCAAATCCAAAAAGAAAAGCAGGCTGAAATCGGAGTCAATGGCCTCAATGGCGCATAACCAGTTGACACGTAATGCTTAATTGTGTTGGAGGCGTGTTCGAGTCGGCAAAAAGCTCATGGTTGATAAATTCGAACAAAGTCTCGAGTTCAAACCCACTGGCAGATAAATCTCGATCCCCTTCAACTCTAATAATAAATAATTAAGAACGAAGAAGAAGAAGAATAATTAGCAAACACTTAAGTAGTTTTCTAGATTAGCTTTACATAAAATTGGGTATGGCCCAGAGGTGTAGCGAGGGGGGGGGGGGGCAGGGTGTGCGGACCGCACCCGGTGACACCATCTAGGGGGGTGACACCAAGGCAAAAAATAGTTAAATATATGAAGAAAATTTGAGGGGGGGGGTGCAAATTGAAAGTTTGAGGGGGGTGCAAATAAAAAAAATTGAAAGTTTGTCCCCGGGAAGGGTCGCTTCGCCTCTGGGGGGTGACACCCGACCTCGCTACGCCACTGGTATAGTTAAATGACAAGCACTTTTGTTTTCCAGACTGTTATCTGAGGAGATGAAAATACTTGTTGCCATGGAAAATGCAAGTCGGCGCTTGCACTACTTACACAAAGTTCTATGTCAGCCATCAGCAAATGGCAAAGTGCCTGAAGTTATCCAAATTCAAGTTCGTCTAATATCAGAGTCTACTCTTGGTTAGTAAATAACAATGTTAAATTCAGCAGTATTAGATATATAATTATGGCCTATATATATATATATATATATATATATATATATATATATATATATATATATATATATATATATATATATATACACATATACATATACATATACATATACATATACATATACATATACATATACATATACATATATATATATATATATATATATATATATATATATATATATATGTATACAATTTTTCAGCTGCTTTCTGGCTTTGTATATCTCTTCTTTTGAAGGTGGGTTACAGTCTACAGGGAGATCACTTTCAGCTGGTGGTAGATCTTATGTGCACTCTTGGTCTCTTCAGCAGTTCTTCAAAATATTCTGCTGATCTCTTCCTCTGTCCTTCCACATCAGGTATCACCTTACCATCTTTGGTCTTCACTGTCCTCTGTGGCTTACTGAACCTCCAAGATATCTTCTTAATTGTATTGTAAAGGCCCCTAATGTTTCAATGGATAGCTGTTTTATGGCATCTCATTCCTGCTGCTACTTTGGTTGCTTTTCCAGCTTCCTACATTTTATGGATGTTCTTCCAGCTTCCTACATTTTATGGATGTTCTTCCAGCTTCCCACATTTTATGGATGTTCTTCCAGCTTCCTACATTTTATGGATGTTCTTCCAGCTTCCTACATTTTATGGATGTTCTTCCAGCTTCCTACATTTTATGGATGTTCTTCCAGCTTCCTACATTTTATGGATGTTCTTCTAGCTTCCTACATTTTATGGATGTTCTTCCAGCTTCCTACATTTTATGGATGTTCTTCCAGCTTCCTACATTTTATGGATGTTCTTCCAGCTTCCCACATTATATGGATGTTCTTCTAGCTTCCTACATTTTATGGATGTTCTTCCAGCTTCCTACATTTTATGGATGTTCTTCCAGCTTCCTACATTTTATGGATGTTCTTCCAGCTTCCTACATTTTATGGATGTTCTTCCAGCTTCCTACATTTTATGGATGTTCTTCCAGCTTCCTACATTTTATGGATGTTCTTCCAGCTTCCCACATTATATGGATGCTTCATGATCTGATATTGATAGTGGTTGTTGACCCATTCTGGAGGACCAGGGTGCTAGCTTTTATCCGACCCTTGCTGGTATAGCTCTGGGGGTCATGCCAGGAGTTTACACTCCCACTGGTATAGCTCTGGGGGTCACGCCTTGAGTTTACACTTCCGCTGGTATAGCTCTGCGGGTCACGCCAGGAGTTTACACTCCCGCTGGTATAGCTCTGGGGGTCACGCCAGGAGTTTACACTCCCACTGGTATAGCTCTGGGGGTCACGCCTTGAGTTTACACTCCCGCTGGTATAGCTCTGGGGGTCATGCCAGGAGTTTACACTCCCGCTGGTATAGCTCTGCGGGTCACGCCAGGAGTTAACACTCCCGCTGGTATAGCTCTGGGGTCATGCCAGGAGTTTACACTCCCGCTGGTATAGCTCTGGGGGACACGCCTTGAGTTTACACTCCCGCTGGTATAGCTCTGGGGGTCATGCCAGGAGTTTACACTCCCTCTGGTATAGCTCTGCGGGTCACGCCAGGAGTTTACACTCCCGCTGGTATAGCTCTGGGGGTCATGCCAGGAGTTTACAGTCCTGCTGGTATAGCTCTGGGGGTCACGCCAGGAGTTTACACTTCCGCTGGTATAGGAGTCATGCCAGGAGTTTACAGTCAATGTGAGCGAAAAATAAGTGAAGTTCCCCTTTGAGACCTCAGAATTTAAAGTTGTAGTTGAACTCAAATGTTTCTTGACCTTGGCATTCAAATGTTTCTTGACCTTGGCATTCAAATGTTTCTTGACCTTGGCATTCAAATGTTTTTTGACCTTGGCATTCAAATGTTTCTTGACCTTTTTTTTTTTGGAAATTTAACTAAGAAATAATTCTATGTTTAAACTTTGGAAATTTAACTAAGAAATAACTTTCGAAATTTAGCTCAATTAAATTGTTTGAAATTTTTTTTTTTTTAGGAAAAAAAGTGAGCATTGGAGATGTTAGTAAAGTGATAAGTGAGCCAAAACATCCAGAATTTGTACCCAGGAAATATTGTAAGATTTATCTCATGATTATAAAATACCATTTGTACTCAAATAATTTATGCATTAATTATGCAAGTCTAAATTACTTGAAGAACTCTTGAATAAGGATACTTAAAAGTACACTTTCCCAAATGCTGTTTGCCAAACGCCTTTTACATGAAGGCTATTTGCCCAGCGATAATTAACCTAAATGACTGGTTCTGTCAAATAAAAGCCATCATATTCAATTAAAAAATTAGACCTTTGTACAATGCTAAAAGAGGCTGCCTACATAGTTGAGTAAATAAGATGCTCTGTGTTGACAGTTCAGTTGCATTGTGATGGCATCCCTGACAACCTTAAGCTGCCAGTTTTATGGTACAACATGATCACTGTTCTGTAACTTTATGCTACATGCTGCCAGTTTTATGGTACAACATGATCACTGTTCTGTAACTTTATGCTACATGCTGCCAGTTTTATGGTACAACATGATCACTGTTCTCTAACTTTATACTACATGCTGCCAGTTTTATGGTACAACATGATCACTGTTCTGTAACTTTATGCTACATGCTGCCAGTTTTATGGTACAACATGATCACTGTTCTGTAACTTTATGCTACATGCTGCCAGTTTTATGGTACAACATGATCACTGTTCTGTAACTTTATACTACATGCTGCCAGTTTTATGGTACAACATGATCACTGTTCTGTAACTTTATGCTACATGCTGCCAGTTTTATGGTACAACATGATCACTGTTCTGTAACTTTATGCTACATGCTGCCAGTTTTATGGTACAACATGATCACTGTTCTGTAACTTTATGCTACATGCTGCCAGTTTTATGGTACAACATGATCACTGTTCTGTAACTTTATGCTACATGCTGCCAGTTTTATGGTACAACATGATCACTGTTCTGTAACTTTATGCTACATGCTGCCAGTTTTATGGTACAACATGATCACTGTTCTGTAACTTTATGCTACATGCTGCCAGTTTTATGGTACAACATGATCACTGTTCTGTAACTTTATACTACATGCTGCCAGTTTTATGGTACAACATGATCACTGTTCTGTAACTTTATGCTACATGCTGCCAGTTTTATGGTACAACATGATCACTGTTCTGTAACTTTATGCTACATGCTGCCAGTTTTATGGTACAACATGATCACTGTTCTGTAACTTTATGCTACATGCTGCCAGTTTTATGGTACAACATGATCACTGTTCTGTAACTTTATGCTACATGCTGCCAGTTTTATGGTACAACATGATCACTGTTCTGTAACTTTATGCTACATGCTGCCAGTTTTATGGTACAACATGATCACTGTTCTGTAACTTTATGCTACATGCTGCCAGTTTTATGGTACAACATGATCACTGTTCTGTAACTTTATGCTACATGCTGCCAGTTTTATGGTACAACATGATCACTGTTCTGTAACTTTATGCTACATGCTGCCAGTTTTATGGTACAACATGATCACTGTTCTGTAACTTTATACTACATGCTGCCAGTTTTATGGTACAACATGATCACTGTTCTGTAACTTTATGCTACATGCTGCCAGTTTTATGGTACAACATGATCACTGTTCTCTAACTTTATACTACATGCTGCCAGTTTTATGGTACAACATGATCACTGTTCTGTAACTTTATGCTACATGCTGCCAGTTTTATGGTACAACATGATCACTGTTCTGTAACTTTATACTACATGCTGCCAGTTTTATGGTACAACATGATCACTGTTCTGTAACTTTATACTACATGCTGCCAGTTTTATGGTACAACATGATCACTGTTCTGTAACTTTATACACTCAGTAAAAGACGCTACTGGGACTACCATTAAAATATAAAGACATCACTACCCACACCATTGTACTAATATAAAGACACCACCACCCACAATATTGTACTAATATAAAGACATCACCACCCACACCATTGTACTAATATAAAGACATCACCACCCACAATATTGTACTAATATAAAGACATCACCCACACCATTGTACTAATATAAAGACATCACCACCCACAATATTGTACTAATATAAAGACATCACCCACACCATTGTACTAATATAAAGACAATACCACCCACACCATTGTACTAATATAAAGACATCACCACCCACAATATTGTACTAATATAAAGACACCACCATACACACCATTGTACTAATATAAAGACATCACCACCCACACCATTGTACTAATATAAAGACAATACCACCCACAATATTGTACTAATATAAAGACATCACCACCCACAATATTGTACTAATATAAAGACACCACCATACACACCATTGTACTAATATAAAGACAATACCACCCACACCATTGTACTAATATAAAGACATCACCCACACCATTGTACTAATATAAAGACAATACCACCCACAATATTGTACTAATATAAAGACATCACCACCCACAATATTGTACTAATATAAAGACATCACCACACACACCATTTTTTTTTGACTCAACAATTCTGTGACATAAGTGATGTCACTTTCATGTGTATGAGACTTTATAGCTGCCTATTTAACAAAATTTGCTCTTAATGCTATATACATTCTTTTCGACTTGTAGTAAAAACAAATATCTCTCAATCAACACTAAGGCATTTGAGGTGGATTATGCAGAAGGTAAGCATATGTTTTGTTAGAATAGTATCAGAACTGTTAGCAATATCACAAGGGTACTAGTTTTTAAAAACAAGTGCCCTTTATGCTTAAAGACACACACACACACTCACACACACAAACATATATATGTATATATATATAAATGTATATATATATATATATATATATATATATATATATATATATATATATATATATATATATATATATATATATATATATATATATATGTATATATGTATACACAACTGTTTATGTGCTCATATCTGATGTGTGAAAAATAATGTAAATAGTAGACTTTTCTGTACTTGAGTTTTTGGGAAGGGGTAATACACAGGGATAATTAGGGGGTGGGGGGGGGGGGGTTGATAGCCAGGATTATTGTTCTGTTTTCTCATATATCAAGACATTAGTTTTTCTATTAGAACCTTTGGATTTATTTTAGTTGAACTTGTGATTATGCTGCTCAGTCATGATTGTTTGAATGGGTAATATTTTGTGTTATCTTAAGGATTCTCTTGGACAAGATGTCTTTCTTATCGGACCACCTGGGCCATTGAGAAGACAAATAGCCATGATGTACTTGGTGAGTAAAAAAGGTGGTCTTGATTGAATATTTTATTTATACTTTAAGATTAGGTGGATAGAAGGGATAACACTAATACAATTACTAAAAAAAATATTCAATCATCTGTTCCTGTTGTTACACACACACACCACACACACACCACACCCAGTCAACACACACCATACCCAGTCAACACACACCACACCCAGTCAACACACACCATACCCAGTCAACACACACCATACCCAGTCAACACACACCACACCCAGTCCACACACCACACCACACCCAGTCCACACACCACACCCAGTCCACACACCACACTCAGTCCTCAAACCACACCCAGTCCACACACCACACCCAGTCCGCACACCACATCCAGTCCACACACCACACCCAGTCCACACACCACACCCAGTCCACACACCACACCCAGTCCACACACCACACCCAGTCCACACATTACACCCAGTCCACACACCACACCCAGTCCACACACCACACCCAGTCCATACACCACACCACACCCAGTCCACACACCACAACACACCCAGTCCACACACCACACCCAGTCCACACACCACACCACACCCAGTCCACACACCACACCACACCCAGTCCACACACCACACCCAGTCCACACACCACACCACACCCAGTCCACACACCACACCCAGTCCACACACCACACCCAGTCCACACACCACACCCAGTCCACACACCACACCCAGTCCATACACCACACCACACCCAGTCCACACACCACACCACACCCAGTCCACACACCACACCCAGTCCACACACCACACCACACCCAGTCCACACACCACACCCAGTCCATACACCACACCACACCCAGTCCACACATCACACCACACCCAGTCCACACATCACACCCAGTCCACACACCACACCCAATCCACACACCACACCTTGTCCACACACCACACCACACCCAGTCCACACACCACACCACACCCAGTCCACACACCACACCCAGTCCATACACCACACCACACCCAGTCCACACACCACACCCAGTCCACACATCACACTCAATCCACACACCACACCCAGTCCACACACCACACCCAGTCCACACACCACACCCAGTCCACACACCACACCCAGTCCACACACCACACCCAGTCCACACACCACACTCTAGTCCACACACCACATCCAGTCCACACACCACACCCAGTCCACACACCACACCCAGTCCACACATCACACCCAGTCCACACACCACACCTTGTCCACACACCACACCACACCCAGTCCACACACCACACCCAGTCCACACACCACACCCAGTCCACACACCACACCCAGTCCCCACACCACATCCAGTCCACACACCACACCCAGTCCACACACCACACCACACCCAGTCCACACACCACACCACACCCAGTCCACACACCACACCCAGTCCCCACACCACATCCAGTCCACACACCACACCCAGTCCACACACCACACCACACCCAGTCCACACACCACACCCAGTCCACACACCACACCCAGTCCACACACCACACCACACCCAGTCCACACACCACACCCAGTCCCCACACCACACCCAGTCCACACACCACACCCAGTCCACACACCACACCCAGTCCACACACCACACCCAGTCCACACACCACACCCAGTCCACACACCACACCCAGTCCACACACCACACCCAGTCCATACACCACACCACACCCAGTCCATACACCACACCACACCCAGTCCACACACCACACCCAGTCCATACACCACACCACACCCAGTCCACACACCACAACACACCCAGTCCACACACCACACCCAGTCCATACACCACACCACACCCAGTCCACACACCACAACACACCCAGTCCACACACCACACCACACCCAGTCCACACACAACACCACACCCAGTCCACACACCACACCACACCCAGTCCATACACCACACCCAGCCCACACACAACACACCCAGTCCACACACCACACCCAGTCCACACCCAGTCCACACACCACACACAGTCCATACACCACACCACACCCAGCCCACACACAACACACCCAGTCCACACACCACACCACACCCAGTCCACACACCACACCCAGTCCACACACCACACCCAGTCCACACACCACACCCAGTCCACACACCACACCACACCCAGTCCACACACCACACCCAGTCCACACACCACACCACACCCAGTCCACACACCACAACACACCCAGTCCACACACCACACCCAGTCCACACCACACCCAGTCCACACACCACACCACACCCAGTCCACACACCACACCCAGTCCATACACCACACCCAGTCCATACACCACACCCAGTCCACACACCACACCACACCCAGTCCACACACCACACCCAGTCCATACACCACACCCAGCCCACACACCACACCCAGTCCATACACCACACCCAGTCCACACATCACACCCAGTCCACACACCACACCTTGTCCACACACCACACCACACCCAGTCCACACACCACACCCAGTCCACACACCACACCCAGTCCACACACCACACCAGTCCCCACACCACATCCAGTCCACACACCACACCCAGTCCACACACCACAACACACCCAGTCCACACACCACACCACACCCAGTCCACACACCACACCCAGTCCCCACACCACATCCAGTCCACACACCACACCCAGTCCACACACCACACCACACCCAGTCCACACACCACACCCAGTCCACACACCACACCCAGTCCACACACCACACCACACCCAGTCCCCACACCACACCCAGTCCACACACCACACCCAGTCCACACACCACACCCAGTCCACACACCACACCCAGTCCACACACCACACCCAGTCCACACACCACACCCAGTCCACACACCACACCCAGTCCACACACCACACCCAGTCCATACACCACACCACACCCAGTCCATACACCACACCACACCCAGTCCACACACCACACCCAGTCCATACACCACACCACACCCAGTCCACACACCACAACACACCCAGTCCACACACCACACCCAGTCCATACACCACACCACACCCAGTCCACACACCACAACACACCCAGTCCACACACCACACCACACCCAGTCCACACACAACACCACACCCAGTCCACACACCACACCACACCCAGTCCATACACCACACCCAGCCCACACACAACACACCCAGTCCACACACCACACCCAGTCCACACCCAGTCCACACACCACACACAGTCCATTCACCACACCACACCCAGCCCACACACAACACACCCAGTCCACACACCACACCACACCCAGTCCACACACCACACCCAGTCCACACACCACACCCAGTCCACACACCACACGACACCCAGTCCACACACCACACCCAGTCCACACACCACACCACACCCAGTCCACACACCACAACACACCCAGTCCACACACCACACCCAGTCCACACCACACCCAGTCCACACACCACACCACACCCAGTCCACACACCACACCCAGTCCATACACCACACCCAGTCCATACACCACACCCAGTCCACACACCACACCACACCCAGTCCACACACCACACCCAGTCCATACACCACACCCAGCCCACACACAACACACCCAGTCCACACACCACACCACACCCAGTCCACACACCACACCACACCCAGTCCATACACCACACCCAGCCCACACACAACACACCCAGTCCACACACCACACCCAGTCCACACACCACACCCAGTCCATACACCACACCACACCCAGCCCACACACAACACACCCAGTCCACACACCACACCACACCCAGTCCACACACCACACCCAGTCCACACACCACACCCAGTCCACACACCACACCCAGTCCACACAACACACCCAGTCCACACACCACACCCAGTCCACACACCACACCCAGTCCACACACCACACCCAGTCCACACACCACACCACACCCAGTCCACACACCACACCCAGTCCATACACCACACCCAGTCCACACACCACATCCAGTCCACACACCACACCCAGTCCACACACCACACCACACCCAGTCCACACACCACACCCAGTCCACACACCACACCCAGTCCACACATTACACCCAGTCCACACACCACACCCAGTCCACACACCACACCCAGTCCACACACCACACCCAGTCCACACAACACACCCAGTCCACACACCACACCCAGTCCACACACCACACCCAGTCCACACACCACACACCACACCACACCCAGTCCACACACCACACCCAGTCCATACACCACACCCAGTCCACACACCACATCCAGTCCACACACCACACCCAGTCCACACACCACACCACACCCAGTCCACACACCACACCCAGTCCACACACCACACCCAGTCCACACATTACACCCAGTCCACACACCACACCCAGTCCACACACCACACCCAGTCCACACACCACACCACACTCAGTCCACACACCACACCCAGTCCACACACCACACCACACCCAGTCCACACACCACACCACACCCAGTCCACACACCACACCCAGTCCACACACCACACCCAGTCCATACACCACACCACACCCAGTCCACACACCACACCACACCCAGTCCACACACCACACCCAGTCCACACACCACACCACACCCAGTCCACACACCACACCACACCCAGTCCACACACCACACCCAGTCCATACACCACACCCAGTCCATACACCACACCACACCCAGTCCACACACCACACCCAGTCCACACACCACACCCAGTCCACACACCACACCCAGTCCACACACCACACCCAGTCCACACACCACACCACACCCAGTCCACACACCACACCCAGTCCACACACCACACCCAGTCCATACACCACACCACACCCAGTCCACACACCACACCCAGTCCACACACCACACCCAGTCCACACACCACACCACACCCAGTCCACACACCACACCACACCCAGTCCACACACCACACCCAGTCCACACACCACACCCAGTCCACACACCACACCCAGTCCATACACCACACCACACCCAGTCCACACACCACACCACACCCAGTCCACACACCACACCCAGTCCACACACCACACCCAGTCCACACACCACACCCAGTCCACACACCACACCCAGTCCACACACCACACCCAGTCCACACACCACACCCAGTCCACACACCACACCACACCCAGTCCACTCACCACACCACACCCAGCCCACACACAACACACCCAGTCCCTGCCTCCCAGTGTCCCTGCATTAATCATGAACTGAACAATTTTTAATTCAAATGTTTCTCTGTCATGTAATGAAACTTTGTCCTTAATCTGACAGGAACTAACAAAACGTGAGGTGGAATATGTTTCTTTGTCACGAGACACTACTGAATCAGATCTCAAACAAAGACGAGAGATTGAGGGTGGAACAGCTTATTATATAGACCAGGTACACAAGTGCCAGCAGCTTCTGTCATAGGCTCACATGTACAACTTTGATCTAGGCTCACATGTACAACTTTGATCTAGGCTCAGATGTACAACTTTGATCTAGGCTCAGATATACAACTTTGATCTAGGCTCAGATGTACAACTTTGATCTAGGCTCAGATGTACAACTTTGATCTAGGCTCAGATGTACAACTTTGATCTAGGCTCACATGTACAACTTTGATCTAGGCTCAGATGTACAACTTTGATCTAGGCTCAGATGTACAACTTTGATCTAGGCTCAGATGTACAACTTTGATCTAGGCTCAGATGTACAACTTTGATCTAGGCTCAGATGTACAACTTTGATCTAGGCTCACATGTTCAACTTTGATCTAGGCTCAGATGTACAACTTTGATCTAGGCTCAGATGTACAACTTTGATCTAGACTCAGATGTACAACTTTGATCTAGGCTCAGATGTACAACTTTGATCTAGGCTCAGATGTACAACTTTGATCTAGGCTCATATGATCTAGGCTCAGATGTACAACTTTGATTAGTCTAAGTGGGTGTTTTCTAGAGAGGTTGTGTTTAGCAAAGTACCTCTATTAATTTTGTTTGCCCGTTGAAGTGACTGTTTGCCTGTTGAAGTGACAATTTGTTTGCCTGTTGAAGTGACAATTTGTTTGCCTGTTGAAGTGACAATTTGTTTGCCTGTTGAAGTGACAATTTGTTTGCCTGTTGAAGTGACAATTTGTTTGCCTGTTGAAGTGACAATTTGTTTGCCTGTTGAAGTGACAATTTGTTTGCCTGTTGAAGTGACAATTTGTTTGCCTGTTGAAGTGACAATTTGTTTGCCTGTTGAAGTGACTGTTTGCCTGTTGAAGTGACAATTTGTTTGCCAGTTGAAGTGACAATTTGTTTGCCTGTTGAAGTGACTGTTTGCCTGTTGAAGTGACAATTTGTTTGCCCGTTGAAGTGACTGTTTGCCTGTTGAAGTGACAATTTGTTTGCCTGTTGAAGTGACAATTTGTTTGCCTGTTGAAGTGACAATTTGTTTGCCTGTTGAAGTGACAATTTGTTTGCCTGTTGAAGTGACAATTTGTTTGCCCGTTGAAGTGACTATTTGTTTGCCCGTTGAAGTGACTATTTGTTTGCCCGTTGAAGTGACTGTTTGCCTGTTGAAGTGACAATTTGTTTGCCTGTTGAAGTGACAATTTGTTTGCCCGTTGAAGTGACAATTTGTTTGCCCGTTGAAGTGACAATTTGTTTGCCCGTTGAAGTGACAATTTGTTTGCCCGTTGAAGTGACAATTTGTTTGCCCGTTGAAGTGACAATTTGTTTGCCTGTTGAAGTGACTGTTTGCCTGTTGCCTCTGTGTCCCCATGTGTCCTGTCTTTGATTTGATACAGTGCGCTGTCAGAGCTGCCCTTGAGGGAAGGGTTTTAATCTTGGAAGGCATAGAAAAAGCTGAGAGAAATGTGTTGCCCGTGCTAAACAACCTCCTAGAGAACAGAGAGATGCAGCTGGATGATGGCCGCTTCCTCATGTCAGCCCAACGCTACGATCAACTTTTGACAGATCACACGCCTGAAGAACTTGATGCACTCAAGCTTGTCCGAGTCAGCAGTGAGTTTCGGGTGATAGCACTTGGTTTACCTATACCAAGGTATCAAGGCAACCCTCTTGATCCCCCACTACGTTCCAGGTTTCAGGCCAGAGATATTCACTCCACACCTTACAAGGTCAGTCTATTGCTTTGTTCAATTTAAGGGGGATAGAGGTTGTGTAAGTGGTGGTGTGTGGGTAGAGGTGTGTGGGTGGTGGTGTGTGGGCTGGAGTGAGGGGTATGGCTCCCTTGACCCTATTATCAACATTGTTAATAATCCTATTGTAAGATAATCCTATTGTAAGCTAATCCTATTGTAAGCTAATCCTAATTTTAGATAAACCTATTGTAAGCTAATCCTATTGTAAGCTAATCCTAGTGTAAGCTAATCCTATTGTAAGCTAATCCTAATTTTAGATAAACCTATTGTAAGCTAATCCTATTGTAAGCTAATCCTATTGTAAGATAATCCTATTGTAAGCTAATCCTAATTTTAGATAAACCTATTGTAAGCTAATCCTATTGTAAGCTAATCCTATTGTAAGGTAATCCTATTGTAAGCTAATCCTATTGTAAGCTAATCTTATTGTAAGCTAATCCTATTGTAAGCTAATCCTATTGTAAGCTAATCCTATTGTAAGCTAATCCTATTGTAAGCTAATCCTATTGTAAGCTAATCCTATTGTAAGCTAATCCTATTGTAAGCTAATCCTATTGTAAGCTAATCCTATTGTAAGCTTCCTCCCCTGAGCTCCACTAGATGAATGATTTGAGACAAGTTGTTGGAAGTTAAAATACATTTTCTACTTGCCCAATAGGAGCTGTTGGAAGTTAAAATACATTTTCTACTTGCCCAATAGGATTTGTTGGAAGTTAAAATACATTTTCTACTTGCCCAATAGGAGTTGTTGGAAGTTAAAATACATTTTCTACTTGCCCAATAGGAGTTGTTGGAAGTTAAAATACATTTTCTACTTGCCCAATAGGATTTGTTGGAAGTTAAAATACATTTTCTACTTGCCCAATAGGAGCTGTTGGAAGTTAAAATACATTTTCTACTTGCCCAATAGGAGTTGTTGGAAGTTAAAATACATTTTCTACTTGCCCAATAGGAGTTGTTGGAAGTTAAAATACATTTTCTACTTGCCCAATAGGAGTTGTTGGAAGTTAAAATACATTTTCTACTTGCCCAATAGGAGTTGTTGGAAGTTAAAATACATTTTCTACTTGCCCAATAGGAGTTGTTGGAAGTTAAAATACATTTTCTACTTGCCCAATAGGAGTTGTTGGAAGTTAAAATACATTTTCTACTTGCCCTATAGGAGCTGTTGAATGAGCTTGAGCTACTGGCCCCAAACATTTCTGCAACCAGGTACATTGCTACACATTACATTGCTCATTAGGGCAAACTTTGTCATATTTCTTCTATTCAAGTTTTATATCTTAGGAATAAAAAAGTTGATCAAGTTTTATATGTCAGGAATAAAACAGTATTGAAGAAGTCCAACATTTTTCAGGTTGTCCCAGCTGTTATCATTTGCAACAACTCTTCTACAGAGGGAGAGTTCCACATTAGGACTTCCAGACTTTCCTATTGATAATTTGCCTCACATTGTCCAGATAATGGTCAGTAGATTTGCTCCAATTGCTTAGGGATTTTTTCTTTTTAAATCCATCATCCCTTTATTAATGAACACCCATTATCTCTCAAGATAGGTAATTTGCCAACCAGACAAGCATGACTAGATTTGTAACTTGTCAGTCAGACAAGCATGACTAGATTTGTAACTTGTAAGAATATATTTTGCTCTGACAGCTACATATTAAAATATTCTCCCCTAATAATATCATTGCTGGTCACTCAATTTAAAATATTCTCCCCTAATAATATCTTTGCTGGTCACTCAATTTAAAATATTCTCCCCTAATAATATCATTGCTGGTCACTCAATTTAAAATATTCTTCCCTAATAATATCATTGCTGGTCACTCAATTTAAAATATTCTCCCCAGAATGCATGCCCTAGCCACTCATTAAAATGTTCCTCCCAAATCTTACCTGGCCATTACATTCTCTTCAGAATATATTACCTGGCCACTCAGATGCAAAACTCATACAGAGGATTTATCCCTACACAGCCATGTTGGCAAGAGAAGGGAGAGAAGCTGTTGAAGAAACCATTAAAGTAAGATTGTAAACATTTGCTTTTTAGGAACTAATAATGTTGTCTTTTTATTATACACTTGAATAGTTCTATGTATGTTGAAGTATCTGTTCTGTAAGATAGGAAAATCTTCACTATTTGTTGATAGTTATAATGCAAACTTATATAGAGAAAAATGTTCTTCTGACGAAGCATGTTGTATAAACCAAAATTTATTTACAGAAGTTAATAAAAATAAGAGAAATTTCATTAAAAAAAACACATTTAAGGATGTAGTATTAGAAGTTTGACTATATTTTTCAACATAACATAACTGATTTTCTTGAAACATGGCATCCAATGAAAACACAACAAAGGTTCATTATCTTCTGGTGATACTTTTAATGAGATATCATTTGTTATTTCTATTAGGTTTCAATAATATTATCAATAGAGATCATTTGTTATTTCTATTAGGTTTCAATAATATTATCAATAGAGAAAATTTGGCAAATCTTCTAAATAGAGAATTTGAAGAAAAAAATGAACTAGGCTAGGCCTATATTATTTATTATTTTATTTACTTTACATCTGAGTGATATAGACTAGTTAAACTACTTAAACATATTGACCTTCCTGTCAGTTTTATATATATATATATATATATATATATATATATATATATATATGAATAGACATATATATATCCTATATATATGAATAGACATGTTTTGTTTTAGAAATTTGAAATTCCTGAGTCCAACAATGCTGTTGGATCCATTGAAAAAGTCACCAACACTGGCAGTCAAGCCAAAGTTGTGTTAAGGTCTGGACATTCTTTCTATACTGTACAGGTAATATTTTTTTTTTTCATATTTCATCCAATGGTTCAAGTTGAATTTTTTTTTTTTAAAATGTGTAGATTTATAATTGGTTATGATTATAATTGGTTATGGTTATGATTAGTTATGAACCCTTCCAACACTAAAATTAAGAATGAAGAAGAAGTTCCAAAACACTTTTTAAAGTAAATATCAAAACCCTAACCCTTTCTAGTTTCAGCTAATCTTGTGGATTTCATTTTACTTAACATGAACTCTAACGTTCAAAGGACCATTTGTCTAGATTTAGGCTCTTTATTGTTAAAGACTTACCATGTCCATCTTTCTAAATATAAGGCATAATTTTAAATTGAAGCAAGTGTACAACTGTGTTAAAATTTCTTTTCCATATTTGTTAAATTGTAAAAAAACTTTTGCAGTTGTTTATAAGGTAAACATTACATTGTAATTAGACATGAATTAGAATGTTATTTTATTGCCCAATATTAAAATATTAGCTATATTAAACAGTTAATTAGTACAGTAACAGTGTGAGACTGATTTAATTGTGATGAAACAAAGATTTCCTATTTTTGTCCTATGGTCTGGTCACACCCCAGCAACAATGGCCAAGGATACAGTTGAATAACTAGAAGAATTGAGTGGAAAGGCACTAAATGCTACCCTACATGAAATATACCTCATGTAACATGTACAAAACATTTCAGTTAGAGGCTATCAAATCATGTATAAATCATCACAATAATAGGCAATTAACCTTTGTATAAATCATTTCAGTTATAGGCAATTAAACTACGTATCAAACATCTAAGGCAATTAAATCATGTATATATCATCTCTATTTAAATTAAAGACTGACCCCCAACAATGACCCCTGCAGGTTTGTGTTGGTGACATGATGGTATAGACAAGACTGACCCCAACAATGACCCCTGCAGGTTTGTGTTGGTGACATGATGGTATAGACAAGACTGACCCCAACAATGACCCCTGCAGGTTTGTGTTGGTGACATGATGGTCTAGACAAGACTGACCCCAACAATGACCCCTGCAGGTTTGTGTTGGTGACATGATGGTATAGACAAGACTGACCCCAACAATGACCCCTGCAGGTTTGTGTTGGTGACATGATGGTATAGACAAGACTGACCCCAACAATGACCCCTGCAGGTTTGTGTTGGTGACATGATGGTATAGACAAGACTGACCCCAACAATGACCCCTGCAAGTTTGTGTTGGTGACATGATGGTATAGACAAGACTGACCCCAACAATGACCCCTGCAGGTTTGTGTTGGTGACATGATGGTATAGACAAGACTGACCCCAACAATGACCCCTGCAGGTTTGTGTTGGTGACATGATGGTATAGACAAGACTGACCCCAACAATGACCCCTGCAGGTTTGTGTTGGTGACATGATGGTATAGACAAGACTGACCCCAACAATGACCCCTGCAGGTTTGTGTTGGTGACATGATGGTATAGACAAGACTGACCCCAACAATGACCCCTGCAGGTTTGTGTTGGTGACATGATGGTATAGACAAGACTGACCCCAACAATGACCCCTGCAGGTTTGTGTTGGTGACATGATGGTATAGACAAGACTGACCCCAACAATGACCCCTGCAGGTTTGTGTTGGTGACATGATGGTATAGACAAGACTGACCCCAACAATGACCCCTGCAGGTTTGTGTTGGTGACATGATGGTATAGACAAGACTGACCCCAACAATGACCCCTGCAGGTTTGTGTTGGTGACATGATGGTATAGACAAGACTGACCCCAACAATGACCCCTGCAGGTTTGTGTTGGTGACATGATGGTATAGACAAGACTGACCCCAACAATGACCCCTGCACGTTTCTGTTCCCAGGTTGCAGCAGGTTCGGGCACGCGAGACTGTCATTTTGTCAGCACACCGTATCACAATCAAATTCTGGCTGAGATGATACAGTCACATCTTATCAAGGATTTTTGTCTCATAGGTCCTAAGGTTAGTGACCTTGTCTCATAGGTTTAGTGACCTTGTCTCATAGGTCCTAAGGTTAGTGACCTTTTCTCATAGGTCCTAAGGTTAGTGACCTTTTCTCATGGGTCCTAAGGTTAGTGACCTTGTCTCATAGGTCCTAAGACTAGTGACCTTGTCTCATAGGTCCTAAGGCTAGTGACCTTGTCTCATGGGTCCTAAGGTTAGTGACCTTGTCTTATAGCTCCTAAGGTTAGTGACCTTGTCTCATAGTTCCTAAGGTTAGTGACCTTGTCTTATAAGTCCTAAGGTTAGTAACCTACTACATATTTAGTATCCACATAGAGCAACAAGATGCACTGGATCAAGTGTCCATTCTGGCATTGGTCCATTTTGGCATTTGTCGCACTCGGGCAAGTGTTCATTCAGGAAAAAAGGCTTTCAATTAAACAACATTTGGGCAAGTGTTCATTCAGGAAAATAGGCTTTCGATTAAACGGCATTTGGGCAAGTGTTCATTCAGGAAAATAGGCTTTCGATTAAACGGCATTTGGGCAAGTGTCTTTCGGGAAAATGCTGTGCTTCCGGGTTTAAACTATCTTATCTAAAGTTATAAATAATGGTTTATACTACCTAATCTAAAGATATAGATTTAGGTTTATACAACTTATCTAAAGTTGAAGGGCTTTAATTTTTCATGCTTATTTTTTCTTTGATCTTTAGGGCTGTGGCAAGAATGTGGTTGTTGAAAAATTTGCCAGTCTACTGGGCTATCATGTAGAACCAATTATGCTTTACCAGGTAAGTGTGTAATCAACATGGGATGGACCAGGACATGAGGTAGTCTGTGTTATGGCATCATCAGTATGGTTGGTACTGATGACGTCAGTGAGAGGTTAAAGAAAAGACATCAACACAATTTCAACACAGTAACTTTAATTTGATAGATGGTGGTCTTGCCTAAACTAGGAAATAAACATGATTATCAATAACGGCCAGCCTTAGGGGCCAGCCCTACCACACTTTACAAGGGCCAGCCCTACCACACTTTACAAAACAAAACACGACTACATGCTTCTAAGGCTAACGTTCAATTGTCCTATCAATCTGGCCCTCACCATCCAGCTTGGGGTCTATGCCCTGGAATAACCTTGAATACAATAGGGTATCTCATTACGTGTTTCCCCAAATTTGCATCCCAGGTTAGTTGGGTCAGACTAAGGTCAAAGACCGGCAACAGGTACTTCACCTAGCCTGCAGATCTCTAGGTCGGGCGGGGATGTCTTCATATCTGGTTACACTGTCCTAGTTCAGGTGTGGGACGGGTAGGGGGGGGGGCGTTAACCCACTAGCATTAGTTATAACAGTCTAGTCAGCTGTGGTCAGTTCTAACATCCATACATGACTTTCTATGTCTATGAGCAGGACATGACATCACGAGACCTGCTGCAACAAAGGACAACTCTAGCCAATGGTGATACAGTGTGGAGACCATCACCACTTGTGACTGCAGCATTAGAGGGAAGTCTGGCTGTACTGGATGGTCTACACAGGGTCAATCCTGGCTCATTTGCTGTCCTTCACAGGTCAGTTCTAACATTCTTTTACATAGCTTTATGACCAGTGGGCTCTGGTTGCTGTCTACCTCCTGCTGCCCAAGGTCCTGACTGTTGTCTACCTCCTGCTGCCCAAGGTCCTGACTGTTGTCTACCTCCTGCTGCCCAAGGTCCTGACTGTTGTCTACCTCCTGCTGCCCAAGGTCCTGACTGTTGTCTACCTCCTGCTGCCCAAGGTCCTGACTGTTGTCTACCTCCTGCTGCCCAAGGTCCTGACTGTTGTCTACCTCCTGCTGCCCAAGGTCCTGACTGTTGTCTACCTCCTGCTGCCCAAGGTCCTGACTGTTGTCTACCTCCTGCTGCCCAAGGTCCTGACTGTTGTCTACCTCCTGCTGCCCAAGGTCCTGACTGTTGTCTACCTCCTGCTGCCCAAGGTCCTGACTGTTGTCTACCTCCTGCTGCCCAAGGTCCTGACTGTTGTCTACCTCCTGCTGCCCAAGGTCCTGACTGTTGTCTACCTCCTGCTGCCCAAGGTCCTGACTGTTGTCTACCTCCAGCTGCCCAAGGTCCTGACTGTTGTCTACCTCCTGCTGCCCAAGGTCCTGACTGTTGTCTACCTCCAGCTGCCCAAGGTCCTGACTGTTGTCTACCTCCTGCTGCCCAAGGTGTCCTGACTGTTGTCTACCTCCTGCTGCCCAAGGTCCTGACTGTTGTCTACCTCCTGCTGCCCAAGGTCCTGACTGTTGTCTACCTCCTGCTGCCCAAGGTCCTGACTGTTGTCTACCTCCTGCTGCCCAAGGTCCTGACTGTTGTCTACCTCCTGCTGCCCAAGGTCCTGACTGTTGTCTACCTCCAGCTGCCCAAGGTCCTGACTGTTGTCTACCTCCTGCTGCCCAAGGTCCTGACTGTTGTCTACCTCCTGCTGCCCAAGGTCCTGACTGTTGTCTACCTCCTGCTGCCCAAGGTCCTGACTGTTGTCTACCTCCTGCTGCCCAAGGTCCTGACTGTTGTCTACCTCCTGCTGCCCAAGGTCCTGACTGTTGTCTACCTCCTGCTGCCCAAGGTCCTGACTGTTGTCTACCTCCTGCTGCCCAAGGTCCTGACTGTTGTCTACCTCCTGCTGCGCAAGGTCCTGACTGTTGTCTACCTCCTGCTGCCCAAGGTCCTGACTGTTGTCTACCTCCAGCTGCCCAAGGTCCTGACTGTTGTCTACCTCCTGCTGCCCAAGGTCCTGACTGTTGTCTACCTCCTGCTGCCCAAGGTCCTGACTGTTGTCTACCTCCTGCTGCCCAAGGTCCTGACTGTTGTCTACCTCCTGCTGCCCAAGGTCCTGACTGTTGTCTACCTCCTGCTGCCCAAGGTCCTGACTGTTGTCTACCTCCAGCTGCCCAAGGTCCTGACTGTTGTCTACCTCCAGCTGCCCAAGGTCCTGACTGTTGTCTACCTCCTGCTGCCCAAGGTCCTGACTGTTGTCTACCTCCTGCTGCCCAAGGTCCTGACTGTTGTCTACCTCCTGCTGCCCAAGGTCCTGACTGTTGTCTACCTCCAGCTGCCCAAGGTCCTGACTGTTGTCTACCTCCTGCTGCCCAAGGTCCTGACTGTTGTCTACCTCCTGCTGCCCAAGGTCCTGACTGTTGTCTACCTCCTGCTGCCCAAGGTCCTGACTGTTGTCTACCTCCTGCTGCCCAAGGTCCTGACTGTTGTCTACCTCCTGCTGCCCAAGGTCCTGACTGTTGTCTACCTCCTGCTGCCCAAGGTCCTGACTGTTGTCTACCTCCTGCTGCCCAAGGTCCTGACTGTTGTCTACCTCCTGCTGCCCAAGGTCCTGACTGTTGTCTACCTCCTGCTGCCCAAGGTCCTGACTGTTGTCTACCTCCAGCTGCCCAAGGTCCTGACTGTTGTCTACCTCCAGCTGCCCAAGGTCCTGACTGTTGTCTACCTCCTGCTGCCCAAGGTCCTGACTGTTGTCTACCTCCTGCTGCCCAAGGTCCTGACTGTTGTCTACCTCCAGCTGCCCAAGGTCCTGACTGTTGTCTACCTCCTGCTGCCCAAGGTCCTGACTGTTGTCTACCTCCTGCTGCCCAAGGTCCTGACTGTTGTCTACCTCCTGCTGCCCAAGGTCCTGACTGTTGTCTACCTCCTGCTGCCCAAGGTCCTGACTGTTGTCTACCTCCTGCTGCCCAAGGTCCTGACTGTTGTCTACCTCCTGCTGCCCAAGGTCCTGACTGTTGTCTACCTCCAGCTGCCCAAGGTCCTGACTGTTGTCTACCTCCTGCTGCCCAAGGTCCTGACTGTTGAACCTAACTGCTGTTTAGACATTTTTAAACACAATTGAGTGTGATAAAAACTTTTGCTCTCCAAAAGTCTTGATATCATTCTAACTTGTATTTGGTCCTGATACCATTTTCTCTAACACTTGGTTATTCTGCATAATGTGTTAAACATAGTACGGTATACAATTTTATTTCACGATTAGTCCAACCCCCCCTCCCTCTCACCCTCAGGTTTGTGAGTGAAAGAGAACTTCAGCTTTTTGATGGCACTCGTTTGTTAAGTCAAGAGAAATTTGAAGCCATCAAACAAGAGACAGGATTTACTGATCTCCAGCTAGAGGAGAGGTTAGAACATGAGACTCAAATTTGAAGTTCAGTCAATAAAAAAAGAATTTTCAGTTTTTACTTTTTTTAGAGAAATAGAGCCATTGATGTTCTGTAGTCACTTTTTTTCCAAAGCCTAAAAGATTGAAGAAATGCCTCATGTTTTCTAGAAAGATATTGCCAATCCATCCATCCTTCCGAATGATTGCCCTGTCTGAGCCCCCAGTTGTTGGCAGTTCCAAGCAGCAGTGGTTGTCTCCTGAGATGCTGACAATGTTTTTGTTTCATGAGATGCGCACGCTGTCACGCTCTGAAGAGCAGGAGCTCATTACTACACTGGTGAGTCATATCATAAATAGTCTCATGCCCAGTAGATGATATCATGCCTTGAGTCAGGTCAGGGAGGTAAATAATTGACCACATGGCTACTTGAGTCAGGTCAGTGAAGTAAAGAATTGACCACAGGGCTACTTGAGTCAGGTCAGGGAAGTAAAGAATTGACCACATGGCTACTTGAGTCAGGTCAGGGAAGTAAAGAATTGACCACATGGCTACTTGAGTCAGGTCAGGGAAGTAAAGAATTGACCACATGGCTACTTGAGTCAGGTTAGGGAAGTAAAGAATTGACCACATGGCTACTTGAGTCAGGTCAGGGAAGTAAAGAATTGACCACATGGCTACTTAGGTCAGGGAAGTAAAGTATTGACCACAGGGCTACTTGAGTCAGGTAGTATTAGTTACCTCACAAGTTAAAGACAGTTACAAGTACTATGGACGTTTCGACCCAAGGTCTTCGTCAGCACACAACAGTGTGATTACAGATTAGACATCCTTTATATCGGACAAACGGGGAAAAGATTGTCTGACAGGGTTAGCCAACACCTGCGATCAATCAATAATGAAGACGGTCTTCCTGTGGCCAAATACTTCAACAAGAGTGGGCATGACTTAAAAAAGGACTTTTGTGTAACCGCCGTTCGGTTTTGCCACAATTTAAAAAATCGCCTTAGCACTGAAACGCGACTAATACTTAAATTTGGTACACGGGCACCCGATGGCTTGAATGAACAGATATCTTTCACCTAATAACCCACCCCCCCCCCCCCCCCGCATACACCACGCCCCCAACCCCACCCCTATACGGTGTCCAAGCGTCCTTCTCACTCGTCTTTTCTTTTGGATATCGTGGCTAGCAGACAAGACGTGTTTTCACTGTCGAGCTAAGTCAAAAAATGTGTTACTGTTTGTCTTTATTTGTCTAATCTGTAATCACACTGTTGTGTGCTGACGAAGACCTTGGGTCGAAACGTCCATAGTACTTGTAACTGTCTTTAACTTGTGAGGTAACTAATACTATCTGTTTTATTACTAATTACATTAACCTCACTGCAGCTACCATTTGTTTTGTTTACTTGAGTCAGGGAAGTAAAGAATTGACCACAGGGCTACTTAGGTTAGGGAAGTAAAGAAGGCTACACATTGTGCTGAACACACATAAATTGTATAGTCTACAAGGGGCACTTATTTTTAGGTTTGTTGAATGCACCAATGCACTTTTTTTGACAGGTACCTACTTTGCCAGATCTCAAGAAAATATTGGATTTTGTCCATACTCTAAGAACATCAAATGACAGTACAGTAAGTGATTGAACTTTACACACTCACACAATTACAATTCAATTTTTTTATGATTTCAATCAACAGAGAAGGAATAAGTATAATTTTTATATGGTTTCAATTGACACATTAGGGGAATAAGTATAATTTTTATATGGTTTCAATTGACACATAAGGAATAAGTATAATTTTTACAACTTTTATTTAACTCGCTTCTTCTGTCTGTCTGTCTGTTTGTCTGTCTGTCTAGATCAAAATGGCCGAGCGAAATAGCAGGCACTTCTAACTGAGAGATACAGTTCATAATTGGTACGTGGGTCAAGACATGAAGACAAAGCATCGTGACGTTAAATTTTACTTAATTGGTCGCCTGATTAATTTTTGATGAATTAATTAAAACTTTGACCAAATTAGTAGGCAGTTCTATCCACACGCGTCATCACAGCAAAAGCATGTCGTCATGGCAAAAGCGCGTCATCACGTTCAATAACTGCGCAATGGTTTTTAGTCATGTAACGCTATTGTATATAAAAACATGTAAAGTACTAAAAAAAAATTTCATAAAAAACGTTTTGATAACAAGCTTTTATTAGTCATGTAACTCTATTGTAAATAAAATATGTAAAGTACTAAAAAAATTTTTCATAAAAAACGTTTTAATAACAAGCTTTTTTGTAATAATGCACTAAAAAGTAGATAATAAATTATACACTACTATTTAAATTACTATAAACAAAAGCTTGGGTCTCTTCCTAAATATTAGTAAAGGTATCCAATAGATACTAAAGTGGCCCACACTTTTCTTTATTGTAATTTATATAGTAGTGTATAATTTATTTTCTACTTTTTAGTGCATTATTACACAAAAGCTTGTTTTTAAAACATTTTTTATGAAATTTTTTCTTATGGTTTCAATTGACACATAAGGAATAAGTATAATTTTTATATGATTTCAAATGACACAGAAGAAATAAGTATCTATATTGAAAAACTGCAGTATTTAGCACCAAGTTTTAAACTGAGACTAGACTACCCGTTATCTAGTTAGATAACTGTGGGTTTCGAGGGTCATCCATACATGACATCACGTCTGTCACTTATCATCACAAAAGAACCAGACCCCACATTCAAAAAGGCGTCACACCTCAGACGTTTTTGTCTTTTAAAAACACTGAGTTCGTCTGAGCCTGGGTCTGACAACATAATCTCTTCATATGCTGAGGTCACAAAAACAGGTCAACTCTACTTCACCTGCCCAGTGTCCTCCCAACTCAGACATGTTTTTGTCTTTGAAAACACAGCTTTTGGCTGAGCATGGGTTTGACCACACTATCTCTTCATATTCTGACGTCACAGGTGAACTTTACACCTACCCAACACTACTTCACCTGCCCAGTGTTCCGCCAAGTCTCAAACAACATGTTTTATCTTTAAAAAAAAATTTTTAGGCTGAGTATGGCTCTGACCACAGTATCCACGTTATATACTGAGGACAAAGAAACAGGTTAACTCTACTTCACCTGCCCTGTATCCCGCTAAGATCCAATAGGCAAAGGCAACTTTATCATTCACAACAAAAAACAAACAAAAAATAATTGAAAAAAAATTAACATTGACATGTCTCAAACCAGTGCCACCTGCATGGTAACCTAGAATCTGCCCTAGAATTAGATCTAGAATTATTTCAAATTAAATTTTATCTTAAATTAGCCAATTGTATATCTAAACAAAGATTTTTATAAAATAATTTAGGCCTGAAATAGATTCTAGATGTAGAATTTACATCAGTCTAGTGATCTAGATCTAGACTTCTAGTAAAACTAAATGAAAAAGACAGTTGAAAATTGATATAAGTGTTGGAACGTAATTAATACAGCAAACGGACGTATTGTTAAAGTTATAGCCATAGGAAAATTAGCTTTAGAACGCGTTAAACATTGGAATGGGAACACAATCTTCTTCGATAGAAGCCGCCATTTAATTGTACTAAAAAGTAAACAAAACATGTGACGTCACTATTCACTCAAAGTAAAGTCGTTTTTCTAAACTTTTAAAATTAATGTGGTTAATCTACCAATGAATAAATCAATAAATTAATTAACGTCTTTAAATAAATTTGTGATTAACCGTCTGTCTAAAAAGAAAAATTGTTCTCTACCTACATACTATTTTACAGCCCTACACATAGAGCAGATTTTCTCCAGTAGTCAATCAAACAAAAAAACAAGCAAATAAATATTCAAACATGTAAACAAACTTTTTTTAGCAGTATAGAGATATTCTAACCCGAACAGCTGCAATCTTTAGCATCAAGTTTTAAATTGAGATCTTCTAACCCTAACCCTAACAGCTGCAATCTTTAGCATCAAGTTTTAAATTGAGATCTTCTAACCCTAACCCTAACAGCTGCAATCTTTAGCACCAAGTTTTAAATTGAGATCTTCTAACCCTAACAGCTGCAATCTTTAGCATCAAGTTTTAAATTGAGATCTTCTAACCCTAACAGCTGCAATCTTTAGCACCAAGTTTTAAATTGAGATCTTCTAACCATAACCCTAACAGCTGCAATCTTTAGCATCAAGTTTTAAATTGAGATCTTCTAACCCTAACAGCTGCAATCTTTAGCATCAAGTTTTAAATTGAGATCTTCTAACCCTAACAGCTGCAATCTTTAGCATCAAGTTTTAAATTGAGATCTTCTAACCCTAACAGCTGCAATCTTTAGCATCAAGTTTTAAATTGAGATCTTCTAACCCTAACAGCTGCAATCTTTAGCACCAAGTTTTAAATTGAGATCTTCTAACCCTAACCCTAACAGCTGCAATCTTTAGCATCAAGTTTTAAATTGAGATCTTCTAACCCTAACCCTAACAGCTGCAGTCTTTAGCATCAAGTTTTAAATTGAGATCTTCTAACCCTAACCCTAACAGCTGCAATCTTTAGCATCAAGTTTTAAATTGAGATCTTCTAACCCTAACAGCTGCAATCTTTAGCATCAAGTTTTAAATTGAGATCTTTTAACCCTAACAGCTGCAATCTTTAGCACCAAGTTTCTCAACTCGCCAACTGCTGAGAATAGCCAAGAGACTGGCACAGTATCCTAGTGATGACCTTCACAGCATTATTCACAAAGCTTGCTTGGCAAGGTCAGTTGATTTCTTTGTTAAGTAGGGTCAGTTTAAAAAAAAATTAATTGTCAGTTCTTGTCACATTAATGTTAGTTGGTCAGCTGTTGTCACATTAATTATGTCAGGTCAGCTGTTGTCACATTAATTATGTCAGGTCAGCTGTTGTCACATTAATTATGTCAGGTCAGCTGTTGTCACATTAATTATGTCAGGTCAGCTGTTGTCACATTAATTATGTCAGGTCAGCTGTTGTCACATTAATTATGTCAGGTCAGCTATTAAGATTGAAATGTTACAATATTTCTATGCATGCTGTAAGTTTAAACCTTGCTTTCAAGATTTTTGCCAAGACTTGCTCAATCAGCTTTAAGTCAAACTCTAGAAGAAGCAAAGATTTTGCCACAGACAAAAGAACATCATTTAGATGATTATGAACATTCAGTTTCATGTAAGTCTATGCCAACCTCATGTAAATCTATACCAAACTTATGTAAATCTATACCAGCCTCATGTAAATCTATACCAGCCTCATTTAAATCTATACCAGCCTCACATAAATCTATACCAGCCACATGTAAATCTATACCCTCATGTAAATCTATACCGACCTCACATAAATCTATACCAGCCACATGTAAATCTATACCAGCCTCACATAAATCTATACCGACCTCACATAAATCTATACCAGCCACATGTAAATCTATACCAGCCTCACATAAATCTATACCGACCTCACATAAATCTATACCAGCCACATGTAAATCTATACCAGCCTCATGTAAATCTATACTAACCTCACATAAATCTACACCAGCCTCACATAAATCTATACCAACCTTTTGTAAATCTATACCAACCTCATGTAAATCTATACCAACCTTATGTCAATCTATACCAGCCTCATGTAAATCGATACCAGCCCCATGTAAGTCTATGCCAACCTCACGTAAATCTATACCAACCTTATGTAAATCTATACCAGCCTCATGTAAATCTATACCAGCCTCATTTAAATCTATACCAGCCTCATGTAAATCTATACCAGCCTCACATAAATCTATACTGACCTCACATAAATCTATACTGACCTCACATAAATCTATACCAGCCACATGTAAATCTATACCCTCATGTAAATCTATACCAACCTCACATAAATCTACACCAGCCTCACATAAATCTATACCAACCTTAAGTAAATCTATACCAACCTTAAGTAAATCTATACCAACCTCATGTAAATCTATACCAAACTTATGTAAATCTATACCAACCTCACGTAAATCTATACCAACCTTATGTAAATCTATACCAACCTCACGTAAATCTATACCAACCTTATGTAAATCTATACCAACCTCACGTAAATCTATACCAAACTTATGTAAATCTATACCAGCCTCATGTAAATCTATACCAACCCCACGTAAATCTATACCAATCTCACATAAATCTACACCAGCCTCACATAAATCTATACCAACCTCATGTAAATCTATACCAACCTCATGTAAATCTATACCAACCTTATTTAAGCTATAAGAAGTAACAATAACACACTATGCATACAGGTGAAGTAAAAAATGGAATGGCGAGAATTGGTGCAACATTGGTTCCAGTTTATCAGCCTCAAAACAAAACCAAAGTTCCAGATATCCTGTTCTATGAAAATCATCAGGTTAGGTTTTAGTTAAGGTCATCAGGTTAGGTTTTAGGTAAAGTCATCAGGTTAGGTTTTAGTTAAAGTCATCAGGTTAGGTTTTAGTTAAAGTCATCAGGTTAGGTTTTAGTTAAAGTCATCAGGTTAGGTTTTAGTTAGGGTTAAGTCTGTTTTCATCATTCTAAACTTGTCATCTAAAACAAAAGGACATACATAGTTTTTTAATTTTAAAGGCTTGATATAAAAAAAAAGGATTAAAAAAAAAAGATTAATTTTTTTTTTGTCAACTGCTTTGCTAATTTTTCTATTGATTGTGTTATTGAGTTGCTAACTTTCCTGTTGATTGTGTTACTGAATTGCTAATTTTCCTGTTGATTGTGTTACTGAATTGCTAATTTTCCTGTTGATTGTGTTACTGAGTTTCTAATTTTCCTGTTGATTGTGTTACTGAGTTTCTAATTTTCCTGTTTAGCATCTAAATGTGATGGAGGACATGCTGAAGGACTTTACCCTGGGGGAACACCTGTTGCTGGTGGGCAATCAGGGGGTTGGCAAAAACAAAATTGTTGACAGATTCTTGCAGCTTTTAAATAGACCAAGAGAATACATCCAGCTACACAGGTCAGTGAAGTCCAGCCTTGCAGGTCAGTTAGGTCCAGCCTTGCAGGTCAGCTAGGTCCAGCCTTGCAGGTCAGTTAGGTCCAGCCTTGCAGGTCAGTGAAGTCCAGCCTTGCAGGTCAGTGAAGTCCAGCCTTGCAGGTCAGTGAAGTCCAGCCTTGCAGGTCAGTGAAGTCCAGCCTTGCAGGTCAGTGAAGTCCAGCCTTGCAGGTCAGTTAGGTCCAGCCTTGCAGGTCAGTTAGGTCCAGCCTTGTAGGTCAGTTAGGTCCAGCCTTGCAGGTCAGTGAAGTCCAGCCTTGCAGGTCAGTTAGGTCCAGCCTTGCAGGTCAGTTAGGTCCAGCCTTGTAGGTCAGTTAGGTCCAGCCTTGCAGGTCAGTGAAGTCCAGCCTTGCAGGTCAGTTAGGTCCAGCCTTGCAGGTCAGTTAGGTCCAGCCTTGCAGGTCAGTTAGGTCCAGCCTGTAGGTCAGTTAGGTCCAGCCTTGCAGGTCAGTTAGGTCCAGCCTGTAGGTCAGTTAGGTCCAGCCTTGCAGGTCAGTTAGGTCCAGCCTTGCAGGTCAGTTAGGTCCAGCCTTGCAGGTCAGTTAGGTCCAGCCTTGCAGGTCAGTTAGGTCCAGCCTTGCAGGTCAGTGAAGTCCAGCCTTGCAGGTCAGTTAGGTCCAGCCTTGCAGGTCAGTGAGGTCCAGCCTTGCAGGTCAGTGAAGTCCAGCCTTGCAGGTCAGTTAGGTCCAGCCTTGCAGGTCAGTTAGGTCCAGCCTTGCAGGTCAGTTAGGTCCAGCCTTGCAGGTCAGTTAGGTCCAGCCTTGCAGGTCAGTTAGGTCCAGCCTTGCAGGTCAGTGAGGTCCAGCCTTGCAGGTCAGTGAAGTCCAGCCTTGCAGGTCAGTTAGGTCCAGCCTTGCAGGTCAGTTAGGTCCAGCCTTGCAGGTCAGTTAGGTCCAGCCTTGCAGGTCAGTTAGGTTCAGTCATTGTTAATATTTGAACTGCCCTTACCTAATGTCATTTTTTTGGTTAATTATAATGTCAAGAAAATTTTTGAATTGCAAGAATCCGAAGTATTACATGATATTTATCCTTATCCCAAACTATTCACACGTACCCCCTATATTTGCCTGGACTATTGCCAATTATTTTCCCAAAGATTTTACTGCAGACAAATACACAACTACATAAAATGACCCAAGACAATTTTAACTTTTTTTTCTACTTCTTGTTCTGGCCACTTCCCCCTAACTCAAGTCTTCTTGTTCAGGGACACAACAGTCCAGACCTTGACCCTCCAGCCCACAGTCAGGGATGGTGTCATTATTTATGAGGACTCTCCTCTGGTCAGTAAAAACTTTGTTCTTTCAAAATTTTTATTTACACCGTGCTACCTCTAAATACAAGTTTTTATTTACACTGTGCTACCTCTAAATACAAGTTTTTATTTACACTGAGCTACCTCTAAATACAAGTGCCCAACATTCAACAGATATGAACAGTTTAGCCAGTGATTGTTTTTGTATTAAATTACAAGCAAAATTTGCAATATGAGGATCTGCATTAGTTAGTTTCACAGTTCATTGAAAAGAAAACTACAAAAAAGTTGCAACTGATCGTGCACTGCAGTCATTTAAATACTCAACTCCACAACATACTGAGAGAGAGAAACAGACATTTCCGCTATTTACATACACGTCTAACTCAGCTCCACAACATACTGAGAGAGAGAAACAGACATTTCCGCTATTTACATATACGTCTAACTCAGCTCCACAACATACTGAGAGAGAGAAACAGACATTTCCGCTATTTACATACACGTCTAACTCAGCTCCACAACATACAGAGAGAGAGAAACAGACATTTCCGCTATTTACATACACGTCTAACTCAGCTCCACAACATACTGAGAGAGAGAAACAGACATTTCCGCTATTTACATACACGTCTAACTCAGCTCCACAACATACTGAGAGAGAGAAACAGACATTTCCGCTATTTACATACACGTCTAACTCAGCTCCACAACATACTGAGAGAGAGAAACAGACATTTCCGCTATTTACATACACGTCTAACTCAGCTCCACAACATACAGAGAGAGAGAAACAGACATTTCCGCTATTTACATACACGTCTAACTCAGCTCCACAACATACAGAGAGAGAGAAACAGACATTTCCGCTATTTACATACATGTCTAACTCAGCTCCACAACATACAGAGAGAGAGAAACAGACATACCTCCTTAACAGGTTTGTTTTAAATGGCCTGCACGATAATTCAGCAAATGTCATTCTAAACTATCAAGTAGGATTGAAGTTGAACTATTTTCAGTAAACTTGAGTTCCATTAAGTTTAGGAGTTTAGCGTCAAGACTGTACCAAGTAAGTGACCAAAAGAGTTTATCATTAGTGAGTAAATGAACAAAGTCCTCTGCCTATCACCTCCATGCCACATCTCTGCCAGCATCTTCAGTAAGCTCAAGATGGCTGATTTCCAAAGTATACATACATATATATATATAAAGCAATGTTTGTCTGTCTGTCTGTCTTTTATGCATTGATCTGATCAGCATGAAACTATACACTAAAGACATGATGGTCAACAATAATAATTAATTATATTGAATCAGGCGTGACTTCAGGCGCGATTTGACGCCATGGGGTTTCCTGTGAGCGCAATGGCGCCTATGTTCATTCTAAACAGTGCGATAGACAATGGATAAGATGGGGAGTTATAGTCACTCACTATATTGAATCAGGCGCATTCACCAGCAAGGTGCAATGTGGGGCCCCAGGCTAACCCGTGAGCGCTATAGAGCCTTTGTTTGGTTTAAACAGTGCGATTGACTATGCATAACATGGGATTTTAGTCGTTCACTAAACATAATCAATCATGTCGGCTGGCACACCAGCAGGGTGCTATTTGGCATCCTACGCTGTCCTATGGCGCCTACGTTAGTTGTAAGGAGCACCCTACATTATTGACAAGGTGGCACACAACATGCAATGATTAAACCGAGCCAGGGGCCGTACACTGCGCCCCTGCAGTATTGTAATCAGGGGCTAACGAGAGTCTCTATGTCCCAGACACTTAGGCGCTGAGTCATTAACGTCCACCCAAGACTTTCCAGTGCCCCGATAAATATGATCCAAGAACAGGCATTGTTTACCTTTAAATAACTTAAGTTTGGGCAAAGAAAGTCCTTGAATCTCATTAAATTGGACTTTAGGATAGTGTAACTTGAATCTCATTGAATTAGACTTGTGGAGTAGGAATTACACTTGTGGAGTAGGGTAGTGGAACTTGAATTTCATTGTATTAGACTTTAGGATAGTGGAACTTGATTCTGTTAAACCTTTGTGTTGTAGGTGGTAGCTGTTAAACCTTTGTGTTGTAGGTGTAGCTGTTAAACCTTTGTGTTGTAGGTGGTAGCTGTTAAACCTTTGTGTTGTAGGTGGTAGCTGTTAAACCTTTGTGTTGTAGGTGGTAGCTGTTAAACCTTTGTGTTGTAGGTGGTAGCTGTTAAACCTTTGTGTTGTAGGTGGTAGCTGTTAAACCTTTGTGTTGTAGGTGGTAGCTGTTAAACCTTTGTGTTGTAGGTGGTAGCTGTTAAACCTTTGTGTTGTAGGTGGTAGCTGTTAAACTGGGCCATGTACTTGTGGTGGATGAAGCAGATAAAGCAGCAACTAATGTCACCTGTATTTTAAAATCTCTGGTCCAGTCAGGAGAAATGTTTCTTTCAGATGGTCGGAGAATAGTTAGTGGTTAGTATATTGATTAGTTTCATTGTTGATAGATTAGTTTAATTAGTTTAGAATGTGTGCATTTGATTTTATACCTAAAGAAGTTATAATTTTTTAATAGTGTAAAGTTTATTTTTACTTTCTCGTATATGAAGTATAGATAAAGTATTGTAATTGTGCAAAAAAACTCGAGATTTTGATAAATCTCGCTGTTTTACACCTCCCTGAGTTGGAAAAACATAAAGTGAAAAGTTCTAATATATTTTTCTTTCAAATTTTGACTAATTTCTGGTAACCAGAAGTAGAACTTTACGCTATTTCTTATCTCTCAAAAAACACGTATGAATTTATTTTTAACTTTTTTCCTCTGTGTATTGTCTGTCACAGTTGGAAAATTGCCCACAAAATTTTGAACTTTTCTACCAGACCGAGTTATTTCAAACTTTTTACGTAGGTCAAGACTTGAAGACAGTGTATTGGGACATAAAATGTTATTTAATTGGATAATTAACTCTTTGAAAATTAATTTTTTCTTTATAAAGTACTAATTGTTCCACATTATTTCACATATGTTGTTTGCTGTTCATTTGGTCCCACAATTCTTTTTTCTATTTTTAAAAATTGATTAAAAATCATGTTCATATCCAGAACTTCCAACTCAGTAGTGTTATAAAAGAATATTCAAGAAAGTTAAGGGGAGATCACTCCTGCTCTACTACTTAAGGAAGTTATAATTTGTCCATAGGGTTAGGTTTGTTTTCTTACTTAAAGAAGCCAGTGTTGAACTTGATCTATTTCTAAATTTGCAGCCAACTCCAGCCTGTCATCAAGTAAGAATATAATCAAAACTCACCCCGATTTCCGCATGATTGTTCTGGCCAATAGACCAGGATTTCCTTTCTTAGGCAATGACTTTTTTGGTGCCATGGGTAAGTCATGAGAAGAATTTTGTTTTTTTTTACAAATTGTAAACTCTGCAAAAGGTCATAGAACTCACTCTAAAAGGTCATAGAACTCACTCTAAAAGGTCATAGAACTCATTCTAAAAGGTCATAGAACTCATTCTAAAAGGTCATAGAACTCACTCTAAAAGGTCATAGAACTCACTCTAAAAGGTCATAGAACTCATTCTAAAAGGTCATAGAACTCACTCTAAAAGACTCAAAAAGGTCTTAGAACACTGTAAAAGGTCTTAGAACTTTCTCTTCAGCTGTCATGCAGGTGGTCTGACTGTTCTCACAGGTGACATCTTCAGCTGTCATGTCATTGATAACCCACAGGTGACATCTTCAGCTGTCATGTCATTGATAGCCCACAGGTGACATCTTCAGCTGTCATGTCATTGATAGCCCACAGGTGACATCTTCAGCTGTCATGTCATTGAAATCCACAGGTGACATCTTCAGCTGTCATGCCATTGATAACCCACAGGTGACATCTTCAGCTGTCATGTCATTGAAATCCACAGGTGACATCTTCAGCTGTCATGCCATTGATAACCCTGACATGGAATCAGAACTGGCAATGTTGAAGCAGTATGGCCCTAACGTGTCAGAGACGACATTAAAACGGCTGGTTTCAGCTTTTGCTGAGCTCAGACAGATGGCTGACCAGGGACTCATCAACTATCCCTACTCCACAAGAGAAGTGGTCAATATGGTCAGACATTTGGAGGTAATTTCTTTCATTTGATCCACATATGCTAATGCTAGTTAGTCTACAAAAGTCTTCAAGTATATTTAGTTTGACTCTTGTCAAGTTTTTACATTGACCAATTAGTAAACAATAGACATTATAAGTCTAGGTTAGACATTAATTCCTGGGTCTCCATTAGACATTAATTCCTGGGTCTCCATTAGACATTAATTCCTGGGTCTCCATTAGACATTAATTCCTGGGTCTCCATTAGACATTAATTCCTGGGTCTCCATTAGACATTAATTCCTGGGTCTCCATTAAACATTAATTCCTGGGTCTCCATTAAACATTAATTCCTGGGTCTCCATTAGACATTAATTCCTGGGTCTCCATTAAACATTAATTCCTGGGTCTCCATTAGACATTAATTCCTGGGTCTCCATTAAACATTAATTCCTGGGTCTCCATTAAACATTAATTCCTGGGTCTCCATTAAACATTAATTCCTGGGTCTCCATTAGACATTAATTCCTGGGTCTCCATTAAACATTAATTCCTGGGTCTCCATTAGACATTAATTCCTGGGTCTCCATTAAACATTAATTCCTGGGTCTCCATTAGACATTAATTCCTGGGTCTCCATTAAACATTAATTCCTGGGTCTCCATTAAACATTAATTCCTGGGTCTCCATTAAACATAATTCCTGGGTCTCCATTAGACATTAATTCCTGGGTCTCCATTAAACATTAATTCCTGGGTCTCCATTAAACATTAATTCCTGGGTCTCCATTAAACATTAATTCCTGGGTCTCCATTAAACATTAATTCCTGGGTCTCCATTAGACATTAATTGATGGGTCTCCATTAGACATTAATTCCTGGGTCTCCATTAGACATTAATTCCTGGGTCTCCATTAGACATTAATTGATGGGTCTTCATTAGACATTAATTCCTGGGTCTCCATTAGACATTAATTCCTGGGTCTCCATTAGACATTAATTATTGAGTCTGCAATAGACATTTATACTTGGACTAGATTATTGCATGTTTAATTGTTTCAAATGATTTGATTCCATCTTGCTATTACAGAATTACCCAAATGAAGGCTTAACTACTGTAGTTCGAAATGTTTTTGATTTTGACTCGTACAACAAAGAGCTGCAGGAAACCATTGTTGAAACAATGCACAAGCATGGGATACCAGTGGGGAGTAGCCAGGCTGCTATAACATTAGCTAAAGAGTAAGCTCCAGTAGATTACAGAGTAGGATGGGATACCAGTGGGGAGTAGCCAGGCTGCTATAACATTAGCTAAAGAGTAAGCTCCAGTAGATTACAGAGTAGGATGGGATACCAGTGGGGAGTAGCCAGGCTGCTATAACATTAGCTAAAGAGTAAGCTCCAGTAGATTACAGAGTAGGATGGGATACCAGTGGGGAGTAGCCAGGCTGCTATAACATTAGCTAAAGAGTAAGCTCCAGTAGATTACAGAGTAGGATGGGATACCAGTGGGGAGTACCCAGGCTGCTATAACATTAGCTAAAGAGTAAGCTCCAGTAGATTACAGAGTAGGATGGGATACCAGTGGGGAGTACCCAGGCTTCTATAACATTAGCTAAAGAGTAAGCTCCAGTAGATTACAGAGTAGGATGGGATACTTTCCTGCTCGACATTTCTGCCCAACATCCCCCCCCCCCCCCACGGATCAGTTACCCTTGTAATTTTTTTTCCCCCAAAATAGCGCCCTGTCATTTACAAATGAACTCAAAACCTAGTCCATGCATTAAAAGAAACTTCCATAACGCAATGTGGGGGTTAGGGCTGTGGTTATTCTTAGTGTTAGTATATTTTCTGCTGGGAATAAACTTTCTCTGCGCTTTGTATAGAAGTTTTCTTCATGTTGCTTGTGGGTGTTTTCTCCATAGGGACAATAAGTAAAGGAGGGGGGGGGGTTACTGCAGGGGGATGGGGGCTACTGTAGGGGGAGAGGGGGCTACTGCAGGGGGAGGGGGCTAATTGATCTGGGTGTAATTGAGGGGGGTGTCCAAGAGTAATAGCTGGGGGTGAAGTTCTAGATTCAATTGATTCATGTGGAGCTTAAAGTTTTTTAAGCATAAATGGATTTGATTCTTTCAAGTATTTCAAATTACACATGCACAAAACAGAAAATAAAACTTGGTGAGTCTTTTTGTATTCCTGTGAATTTTGAGAGACTGGATTATGTTTTGTCACGGATGTGAATGAATTGACTATTAAAAGCTCTCAAGATAATTTTGAGTTTTGTGTTTGAGCTTATCACAAATTCTTGTTGAATCAAGTTTGTTACAGCATTTAGGGCTGACACTTTTCTGGGAGATTCTGGATTCAAGAATCAGATTTTTGTTCAATTTCCTTAGTTTGACTAATTCATGTTTTAAAATGGAGGCTGTTTAAGCTTGATCATTTTGGTAGTCTAGAAATGCTTTTATTATCCAGAACACAGAGTCCCCTCTACAATTTATTTTGTTCATAATCTTTTTTTTTTTGTTCCTTTTGTTTGTGGGATGTGGCAAATCTTGTAATTTTGTTCTAACTTTCCAGTAGCAAAAACACCCCTGGTGGCAATGCAAGAATATCTATTTTTTAATCTAATTAGACATCAGTTAAGTCATAAAAATGTAATAGAAATATTATTATATTCAACTAGCTGCATACCTGTGCTCCACCATGGTACATCTTTTTTAAATGTACCAACTTGGGAACAGAACAAAGCTAGACACAACACAAACACAACATCCGCAAACCGAAAGATAGAACATTCACAATAGAGTATAGAGTTTCATGACTTAAACCATTGTGCACCTAATGAATGTGGTGACACGTGTATAATGTTGCTGAATAGTTGATTCAAAATTATCCTTAGTAAACAGTACTTTCAGTGAATAAAGATAGCTTTTTATCAAACCATGCTAATTATAATATTCCAACAATAATGTCCTCTTACACGTCTACAGAATTTGCATTCACATTTTGCTAATTATAATACTCCAACAATAATTCCCTCTTGAGATTTTGCATTCAAATTTTTTTTATTAGCATGAGTTGAATTTATTTTTAAAAAATTACAAAACAGCTTAATGTTTAATTAATTTTTTTGACCCTATTATTATTAAAATGTATCCACTTTTTCTAGGAATCTAAACAAAAATGTTATTTGACATTGATCCGTTTAATATGTTTTAGCAATTTGTGTGTATTTAATATTTCCTTTACATTAAGCGAAAGAATAAAAACTGTGGCGGCTATAAAATAAATTCAAGTCATTATATAAACAAACCCTACTTTATCACTTATAATAAGACACTGTGATGCAAGTAAAAAGCATGTGGTGTGTTTACTTTTACGGTTCCAAAATCTATAGCGATTACCGTTATATTATAGATAACAAAAGAAAGGGGAGATAACTATCTGTTGTTCACACCAAATGTAAGGTCACTACTAGTTCTATATAATCTTAAGGTCACTGCTAGTTCTACACAATCATAGGGTCACTGCTAGTTCTCTAGGATCTTAGGGTCACTGCTTCACATTAAATTCAGCATGCATTGTGTTCTTGTATTTTCCTTCTCATTGGAGCTTAATAATTCTCAGTGTTCTGTAAGTTTTGCAAGTGCTAGATTAGAATTTGATCAACTTGACATTGCAGAGCATTGAGTTGGGACTTTGTTTTTTTGCTTGATGTAGTTAGTATAAAAGATTTAGATATCAAGAAAGAAATCACATGAACTACCATTGTGACAGCTCAAACTGACTACTGGGCCAGGATTCTTGATGCATGTGTGTCATGAGGTCAAGCTTTCCACAATATAGAAATACTAGCTGCATACCCGTGCTCTACCACAGTGAATCTTTTTTAAATGTACCAACTTGGGAATAGAACAAAACTAAACACAAACACAAAAGAGAACAACGCAAACACAAACACAGTACAAACACAAATGCAAAAAACACTTTCCTAGGCATCCGCGCCCAGAGAGAGCCTTTCCAGCATTCTCTAAAAGTCTAATTTCACCATCCGTTTTAGTAACAGAAAAAACAAAAACCAAGAATAGCGATTTTGAGAGATCATAGACTAATTAGAAAATAAAATAAATAATCTTAACATTTTTCTGTTTTAATTATGAACCTTAACATAAAAGAATCAATGCAGTTGTAATAAAAAAAAAATAACTTAATTATTGAGAGTTGAATTTCTTTTTGAATTACCTCCCCTGGCAAAATTATAAAATATTTTTATTCATTAGTTTTTTTCTAACCTGAACGAATATAGTATTTGACATTGATTCGTTTAATATATTTAAGCAATGTGCGTTTATTTAATATTTTCTGCACGTTACGCGAAAGAGTAAAAACAGTGTCAACTATACAAAAATTTTTTGTCGTTATATAAACAAACCTTTCTCTAATGTTTATAATAAGACAATGTGGTGCTGTTTAAAAGAAGTGCATGGTATGATGTTTACTTATGCATATTATAGATCACTTTATGACTATGTCATGTTGTGACCTCTGTCATATTTCAATTATGTCAACTGTTATTGGCCACTACAACATCCACTCAGATCAAATCCCATCACAAAATTGTAAGAGTGGTGCTTGCCCTGAACTCCTCCGAACCCCTAAGACTGACTCACCCAACCCTTAAGGTTCCATAAAACCCAGGTTCAGAACCACTGTTCTAGATCAAGCTATATGTATTCTGGACCAAGTTATGTGATGTTCTAGACCAGTGGTTCCCAGTGGCGGCCCCCTTTTACAAAAAGTAAGTGACCCATGACCCCCATGGAATTAAAAAGTCAAAATTAATAAGGAATTTTATAATGACTAAAGTAAGATTTTCTTGTAGACTTTCAAAATGAATTATTCTTGATAACTGTTTTAATACGATGAGTAAAATTTCATGCTATTAACTAGCCTCAACATTCGCAGTTTAGTGTTTGTTAACAGTCAAATAATTATTGATGGCTACAGACAAATAATGAATGATGGCTACAGACAAATAATTAATAATGGCTACAGACAAATAATTAATAATGACTACAGACAAATAATTAATAATGACTACAGACAAATTCTCCCTTGAAAGTTAACAGGGCACATATACAGTAGATCAACTGTGGCTATATGATTAAGTTCTGGCTATGTGGTAAAGTATGGTTAGGTACTGGCAACATGGTTAGGATTTGGCTATGTGGTTTAGTACCGGCTACATGGTTAGGTTTTGGCTATGTGGTTTACTATGGCTACATGGTTAGGTTTTGGCTATGTGGTTTACTATGGCTACATGGTGATATACTATACCACATTTTTTCTCCAGAATTCCCCTACCTCCGTTGGTCAGAGTGGGACAATGGCATGAAGAAAAAATGAACCAATCAAAACTAGCTGTGAAAACTGAACAAATATTTATCAGGGTGAGTCAAACTGAATGCTGTTTGGTTAGGGTTAGGATGAGTTAAAGCTCTATGGTTTGGATGAGTTAGTAAAGCTCTAGGTTGATAATCTAAGAAATGCAGCACCATCATTGTTTACTTTGAAAAGAAATTATATATCTGAAAATATACAATTGGTAATGTGCTGATGAAATGGTCATCAACTGTTGCACCAGTTGGGTGTATTGGACTGAATGGCCAAAAATCTGTGGCCCACTATTGCTTTAAGAAAAGCTGATTTGTTTGTGTAGCTGACAAAAAGACAAATTATATTGTGTATACATTAGCACTTAAAGTAAAAAAAAAAATCAAAGCAACACTAAAATGTTTTCCATATTGAAACAAAGCAAATAATAATTGCTTTTAAAGGACCATTGAATTTTATTATGAAGTGTCTTGAGTTTTCTATTATCTGACATTGCAGTAAAGTGTGATGGTTATGCTCTTATTTTATGTATATGTTATATAGATTAAGTATATAAGTATATATATATATATATATATATATATATATATATATATATATATATATATATACATATATATTTTTTTAAAAATTTATTTATTTATATATTGTCTCTAGAATTTTTTTATAATATGTAATATAAAAATATAAGCCGATATAAGCGCACATTTAAAACATTGCAATATCTCTAATTCTGGAAAAACAAAGTGTCATATTACTGGGTTATAATTTTAAGAAAGCCAGAACAAGATCAAAAGACTGAACAGTTGATTCTTCTAATAGGGACCAGTTGATCTAGGTGTGCAAACAAAGACTTTGGACAGAACAGAGTCAAGGTCACACAAGTTCTCTGAAGAGGAAGTTCATGCCTTGATTCCTTTAGATGAAGCCAACATAGTTTGTGATGTTGCTGTCAGTAAAGGTAGTTGTCATTGTGATGCTGTTGTAAATCACTGATCCACCACACACACAATCACTGATCCACCACACACACAATGACTGATCCACCACACACACAATCACTGATCCACCACACACACAATGACTGATACACCACACACACACACAATCACTGACACACCACACACAATCGCTGATCCACCACACACACAATGACTGATCCACCATACACACAATCACTGATCCACCACACACACAATCACTGATCCACCACACACACAATCACTGATCCACCACACACACAATCACTGATCCACCACACACACAATCACTGATCCACCACACACACAATCACTGATCCACCACACACACAATGACTGATACACCACACACACACAATGACTGATACACCACACACACACAATCGCTGATCCACCATACACAATCGCTGATCCACCGTACACAATCGCTGATCCACCATACACACAATCACTTATCCACCATACACATTCAGCAATCCACCATACACAATTACTGATACACCACACACAATTGCTGATCCACCATACACACACAATCACTGATCCACCACACATACAATCACTGATCCACCACACACACATTCACTGATCCACCATACACACAATCACTGATCCACTATACACACAATCACTGATCCACCATACACACAATCACTGATCCACCATACACACGATCACTGATCCACCATACAGGTGGGCCGGTGCCACCTAATCTATGTCAAACATAAAGTTGTCCACTTGTATCAGACCCAACTAGTGACTATATCAAACATAAAGTTGTCCACTTGTATCAGACCCAACTAGTGACTATGTCAAACATAAAGTTGTCCACTTGTATCAGACCTAACTAGTGACTATGTCAAACATAAAGTTGTCCACTTGTATCAGACCCAACTAGTGACTATGTCAAACATAAAGTTGTCCACTTGTATCAGACCAAACTAGTGACTATGTCAAACATAAAGTTGTCCACTTGTATCAGACCAAACTAGTGACTATGTCAAACATAAAGTTGTCCACTTGTATCAGACCCAACTAGTTTCTATGTCAAACATAAAGTTGTCCACTTGTATCAGACCCAACTAGTGACTATGTCAAACATAAAGTTGTCCACTTGTATCAGACCCAACTAGTGACTATGTCAAACATAAAGTTGTCCACTTGTATCAGACCCAACTAGTGACTATGTCAAACATAAAGTTGTCCACTTGTATCAGACCCAACTAGTGACTATGTCAAACATAAAGTTGTCCACTTGTATCAGACCCAACTAGTGACTATGTCAAACATAAAGTTGTCCACTTGTATCAGACCCAACTAGTGACTATGTCAAACATAAAGTTGTCCACTTGTATCAGACCAAACTAGTGACTATGTTAAACATAAAGTTGTCCACTTGTATCAGACCCAACTAGTGACTATGTCAAACATAAAGTTGTCCACTTGTATCAGACCAAACTAGTGACTATGTCAAACATTAAGTTGTCCACTTGTATCAGACCCAACTAGTGACTATATCAAACATAAAGTTGTCCACTTGTATCAGACCCAACTAGTGACTATGTCAAACATAAAGTTGTCCACTTGTATCAGACCCAACTAGTGACTATGTCAAACATAAAGTTGTCCACTTGTATTTTTAGTGGCCAGGAGGTCAGCAGGGAAGAAGCAGCATGATGTCATCTATGTGGCCACATGTCATCCCATAGGTTTATACAGCCTGACATCTACATCACATACAGTGCACTTCATTGACCTATATGATGTTTTTCCATCAACAATGGGATCATATAGACCTCACGTAAGTAACATTTTTTGGTCATTTCTATTTTACATCAAATTTCAATTTGATATAAGTCTTTGTTATAATGCTTTTTATTTGACATCAAATTTCAAGCTGTTTTTGTTTTACTTTTTTATTTTAATGCTTTTTATTTGCATCAAATTTGAAGCTGTTACCCAATTAACTTGCAAGATGACTTTTTGTTGACTGTAGATGACTTTGTTAACTAGAAATGACTTTTTGTTAACATTTTAGATGTCTGTATTAATTAAGGATGTCTTTGGTTATTTTAACCCTTTATCTACTGACGGTACTTATAAGTACCGCTTTAAATAAGTGCCTGTATAAAATTTAATTAAATACGAATTTTAAAAATTATTGATGTAATGAATAGTATTATCTACCTTGAGTCCCCGGTAGTTGGATGGATCGATTTTTTTTTCAAAAACTTTGGTGTGGCGCAAATTTCAATGTCTTCCTGTATCGGTAGTTTACAATTGTTCTGTAACGTTCTCATACACGTTCCTGATTTTCTTTTGTTTTACCTTATTCTTAAGGTTTTCATCCCCAAATATTTTTTATTGGCATCTCCAATAGTCAGGCAAACGCATTTAACTTCTAGTTATACAATTTTAATAAAATTGTCTATGTATTAGATCGATGTTTACAAGTGGACTTATAAGTACCGTCAGGGCACACGGTAATTTTTTTAGAATTTTTAGGAAATGGCAGATTTTTTATGTGGAGTGACATAAATATTATTTTGATAATTAATTAACGAAATGTACTCAAAAAATGATATTTACACATTTATAAGAAGGTTTACCTAAGAAATATTATAATTACATGTTGATTTCTAGTAGTAAAAGAATAACATGAATAAAGGTAGCAGTTGCAGGCTCGTTTACTAGGTTTAGTATACTTCATTTGTATACCAAAGCCCACTTCTAGTAGTAAGATTTAATTTGTTAGTTATATTTACTGCAATAAACTGTCTTGCCTAAAATAACTTTTATTTACGTAATGTATACCTGTAGACTAGTAACAGTCCATACTTCTGCATATAGTATAGATCTATATGGTAAATTTTAATCCATAAACAGGAAACAGTAGGCCACTTCAACTATCCTAAACATATCGAGCTCACTTCTATTTATGAACTTTACACTGTAGTGTAGACTTGTCATAACATTCTAGTAGGCTACAATTATACTAATATTACTAGTAGTTGTGTACTGAACGACTAGGCTTTTGTTTGTTTATGCTGCTCATTGTAAGCTATTGGAAGCTTCCAGCAAAAGCATATACTTTTGTGCTGTATTTGTGTGTGAAAATTACAAAAAATGACTGTTATAATGATTGCCATGTTATTAGTAAATACATTGTATCGTTTGTTCCTGTTTTGTAAAAAAAAATTTTTTTGGAAAAAATGTCCTACATTCCTGACGGTACTTATAAGTACCAATATCTGTTTGGGTAATTAAAAATTTGTGAAACGAAATTTCCTTCGACATATGCTTTAAATGTGCCAAAAGCAATATGATAACACATAGTTTAAGAAAAAATTTCATTCAGAACCTAATTCCGTAAATAAAGGGTTAAAATGCACCTTTTAAATTCTATTACCTCAAATTTCCTTTTTATTGGCTTTATAATAACCTCAAAGTTCCTTCATATTGGCTTTAAATTTCCTTCATATTAACTTCAAAATTCCTTTTATTGACTTGAAAGCTATTTTGACACAATGGAAAAGTTAATTTGGTAGGTACCCATTTCAAAATGAATTTTTACAAGCTTTTATTGAACTTGAGATTCCTCCTGCTTAATGTTTAAGTCATGGGTCTGTCAATTATATTTTATCCATTTTTACTGGACCAGTTGGTTTCAAATTTGACACGTAGTTCAAGAACATAAACTTTAACTTTAAATGATGTGATCTATTTTTCAAAAATGATTTACTATTGCTAAAAAAAAATAAAAAAGCGTTTATTTATAGTCCCAAACATTTATGTGTGCACAGAAAAGAAGAAAATAAATGATTTTCCTTAAAGATGTAGTGACCATAAAAAATGGCCATAGTACTGACCATAGTACTGGCCATAGTACTGGTCATAGTACTGGTCATAGTACTGACCATAGTACTGGTCATAGTACTGGTCATAGTACTGACCATAGTGCTGGACATAGTGCTGGACATAGTGCTGGCCATTGTACTGACCATCTTACTGACCATACTACTGGCTATAGTACTGACCATAGTACTGATCAGAGCTTAATATGACTTGTTTGATCAGAGCTTAACATGACTTGTTTGATCAGAGCTTAACATGACTTGTTTGATCAGAGCTTAACATGACTTGTTTGATCAGAGCTTAACATGACTTGTTTGATCAGAGCTTAACATGACTTGTTTGATCAGAGCTTAACATGACTTGTTTGATCAGAGCTTAACATGACTTGTTTGATCAGAGCTTAACATGACTTGTTTGATCAGAGCTTAACATAACTTGTTTTACTTTTTCAGGTCAGAATTCAGCCACTGGAAGCACCACTAGATGACCGAATTATTTTACATGAACAAGTGGTATGATTGAACTATTTGACATGAACAAGTGGTATGATTGAACTATTTGACATGAACAAGTGGTATGATTGAACTATTTGACATGAACAAGTGGTATGATTGAACTATTGTACATGAACAAGTGGTATGATTGAATTATTGTACATGAACAAGTGGTATGATTGAATTATTTTACATGAACAAGTGGTATGATTGAATTATTTTACATGAACAAGGGGTATGATTGAATTATTTGACATGAACAAGTGGTATGATTGAATTATTTGACATGAACAAGTGGTATGATTGAATTATTTGACATGAACAAGTGGTATGATTGAATTATTTGACATGAACAAGTGGTATGATTGAATTATTTGACATGAACAAGTGGTATGATTGAATTATTTGACATGAACAAGTGGTATGATTGAATTATTTGACATGAACAAGTGGTATGATTGAATTATTTGACATGAACAAGTGGTATGATTGAATTATTTGACATGAACAAGTGGTATGATTGAATTATTTGACATGAACAAGTGGTATGATTGAATTATTTGACATGAACAAGTGGTATGATTGAATTATTTGACATGAACAAGTGGTATGATTGAATTATTTGACATGAACAAGTGGTATAATTGAATTATTTGACATGAACAAGTGGTATGATTGAATTATTTGACATGAACATGTGGTATGATTGAATTATTTGACATGAACAAGTGGTATGATTGAATTATTTGACACTAAGCATACTGCCTAGCTTTGCTTAAGTTTTAAAATAAAATAATTGAGAATTTGAAAACAGTAATTTTATGACATTGAAACGTAGGTGGAATATTTTCAAACTTATAACTTGCAAGGTGATTAGAACTGCAAAGGCTTCCTTAAAAGTATAACTCAAATATTATATTAAATTAAATTTCGCAATTAATTTTAAAAATTTAATTACGATACATAACTTAATTTATAACTAAATTCTTAACTAAACTAATGCTATACTTTGTGATTTTCTGTTTTTGTTGAAAATAGTATAAAAATAAATTTAAAAATTATTACTTTAAAAAGTTACCTTCCTTGTACATAGACCGAATGACATTGTCTTTGTTTACTTTTTCACAAACAATTGCTATGTATATATTAAAAAATACAGCATCTGGACAAATCTAAAGACCCTAAGGGCTTTAAATAGCCAGATGTACAGAGGTGAAGTACCCTAAAATCTGTATTGAAATTACCCTCTGTTTTCACATAAATTACAAAGATTATGTAGGGAAATATGACTAGTCAGTTTTGACCACTTGACAGATTTTTCCCGGATATGGCAAGTTTTTTCTGACACCCCTAGGCGTTTTCCTATGACCTCACAAAATATAAAGGGGGGGTTGTTTGGCAAAAGTAGTTTTTCGATATATAGCTCATATAAGGCGCCCGTCAGTTTGTTTTATATATACAGATGAACAAGTGGTATGATTGAAACTTGTCAGTTCTTCTGTTTGATTTTTGCCTTTAGTACAAAATGTTTGATGAAAACAAATGTTCCATTGATGAATCCAGTTCTTGAATGATTACTGAGCTAGCTGAACTTGTTCCAGACAAATGTTGTCATCTCTGTGAATGTAGAAAGTGGTCAAGTCTGGCGCTTGATGTGTCCAGGAATACCTGAGGTTGTGGCTTCTAAAAGAAGATTTCCAAGCATAATCTCTAATACTGAGGTAAGTCACAAGACTAAGACTATAGTAGACACATCCTATTACATTTTGCCATCTCTAATACTGAGGTAAGTCACAAGACTAAGACTATTGTAGACACACCCTATTACATTTTGCCATTGCATATTTAGACTTGTGCTAAGAATGAGAACACTTGATCTATGAAATTGTTTGGTTGTCACAAGTGAGCATGACATAACACCCTGTCAGTTACCACCCCCCCCCCCCTCTCCCTGAACATGACACTCTTGACCCCCCCCCCCCTGTTATCCATTTCTCCAGTAATTACTGATAGATATAGATAAGGATAGGTGAACGTTAAGATTGCAATAGCATTTGGGATCGAGTTAGGGATATGGTTAGGCATAGGATTAGGGAAAGAGATATGGATAGTGATAAAGCAAGGATCAGGGAAAGGGGTTAGGATAGATTGGGGATAGGGAGATGGATAGGTTGGGGATAGGGAGATGGATAGGTTGGGGATAGGGAGATGGATAGGTTGGGGATAGGGAGATGGATAGGTTGGGGAGAGGGAGATGGATAGGTTGGGGAGAGGGAGATGGATAGGTTGGGGATAGGGAGATGGATAGATTGGGGATAGGGAGATGGATAGGTTGGGGATAGGGAGATGGATAGGTTGGGGAGAGGGAGATGGATAGGTTGGGGATAGGGAGATGGATAGCTTTAATTTTTTGTTTTAAGTTGGAGGGGGAGGGGGGTAATGTCCTTGACCCAAAACACACAATATTTAACTACACATAGTTTAACCACACATAGTTTAACCACACATAGTTTAACCACACATAGTTTAACCACACATAGTTTAACCACACATAGTTTAACCACACACATAGTTTAACCACACACAGTTTAACTACACATAGTTTAACCACACCTAGTTCAACCACACATAGTTTAACCACACACAGTTTAACCACACATAGTTTAACCACACACAGTTTAACCACACATAGTTTAAACACACATAGTTTAACCACACACAGTTTAACCACACAGAGTTCAACCACACAGAGTTTAACTACACCTATTTTAGCCACACCTAGTTTAACCACATAGTTTAACCACACATAGTTTAACCACACATAGTTTAACCACACAGAGTTTAACTACACCTATTTTAGCCACACATAGTTTAACCACACACAGTTTAACCACACATAGTTTAACCACACATAGTTTAACCACACAGAGTTTAACCACACATAGTTTAACCACACCTATTTTAGCCACACCTATTTTAGCCACATCTAGTTTAACCACACATAGTTTAACCACACCTAGTTTAACCACACCTATTTTAGCCACACCTAGTTTAACCACACATAGTTTAACCACACATAGTTTAACCACACCTGTTTTAGCCACACCTAGTTTAACCACACATAGTTTAACCACACATAGTTTAACCACACCTAGTTTAACCACACCTAGTTTAACCATACATAGTTTAACCACACCTAGTTTAACCACACCTAGTTTAACCACACATAGTTTAACCACACATAGTTTAACCACACATAGTTTAACCACACAAACTTTGTCCCCAGAGCCCTTACAGGATGGTTGTAAATGACAATGAAGGTTCCAGTCAAACAGTTTTCTTCTATAAGCAAAACAGGTATCTGTATTTCATAAGACTGGCTACCTTTTAAAAAAACTGTAATGGAGTTTATGGTAAAAGAAAGTTTGTTTTATTTTGACCAGCTTTTTTTGAGGTCTCATTGTCTCACTGTATCCTACTGTGTCTTACCATGTCTCACTGTGTCTTACCATGTCTCACTGTGTCTTACCGTGTCTCACTATGTCTTACCATGTCTCACTGTGTCTTACCATGTCTCACTGTGTCTTACCATGTCTCACTATGTCTTACCATGTCTCACTGTGTCTTACCATGTCTCACTGTGTCTTACCATGTCTCACTGTGTCTTACCATGTCTCACTGTGTCTTACCATGTCTCACTGTGTCTCACTATGTCTTACCATGTCTCACTATGTCTTACCATGTCTCACTGTGTCTTACCATGTCTCACTGTGTCTTACCATGTCTCACTGTGTCTTACCATGTCTCACTGTGTCTTACCATGTCTCACTGTGTCTTACCATGTCTCACTATGTCTTACCATGTCTCACTGTGTCTTACCATGTCTCACTATGTCTCACTATGTCTCACTGTGTCTTACCATGTCTCACTGTGTCTTACCATGTCTCACTGTGTCTTACCATGTCTCACTGTGTCTTACCATGTCTCACTGTGTCTTACCATGTCTCACTGTGTCTTACCATGTCTCACTGTGTCTTACCATGTCTCACTGTGTCTTACCATGTCTCACTGTGTCTTACCATGTCTCACTGTGTCTTACCATGTCTCACTGTGTCTTACCATGTCTCACTGTGTCTTACCATGTCTCACTATGTCTTACCATGTCTCACTATGTCTTACCATGTCTCACTGTGTCTTACCATGTCTCACTATGTCTCACTATGTCTCACTGTGTCTTACCATGTCTCACTGTGTCTTACCATGTCTCACTGTGTCTTACCATGTCTCACTGTGTCTTACCATGTCTCACTGTGTCTTACCATGTCTCACTGTGTCTTACCATGTCTCACTGTGTCTTACCATGTCTCACTGTGTCTCACCATGTCTCACTGTGTCTACTGTATTCAATTAGAACAAGCTGTGGTGACCAAAAGTTAATCTGAAGCTTACTTTGAGCTGCACTTATCTCTTCTCCAGCAATGAGGTTGTCATTCTGAATGTTTTGGAGGGGGTGAGTCACGTGATCAATGTGCCTATAAATATCAGCAACTGTCAGCATGTTGGAGAACAGAGATGGATTATACAAGATAATACATCTTCAAGGTAAACATTACTCCTGTCTGTCACCTTCTGTCTCCTGCCTGTCATCTCCTGTATGTCACCTCTTGTCTGTCACCTCCTGCCCGTTATCTCCTGTATGTCATCTCCTGTATGTCATCTCCTGTATGTTACCTCCTGTATGTCATCTCCTGTATGTCATCTCCTGTATGTTACCTCCTGTATGTCATCCTGTCTGTCACCTCCTGTTTGTCACCTCCTGTCTGTCACCTCCTGTATGTCATCTCCTGTATGTCATCTCCTGTATGTCATCTCCTGTCTGTCATCTCCTGTCTGTCATCTCCTGTCTGTCATCTCCTGTCTGTCATCTCCTGTATGTCATCTCCTGTATGTCACCTCCTGTCTGTCATCTCCTGCCTGTCATCTCCTGTATGTCATCTCCTGTCTGTCATCTCCTGCCTGTCATCGCCTGTCTGTCATCTTCTTCTGTCACCTCCTGCCTGTCATCTCCTGTATGTCATCTCCTGTATGTCATCTCCTGTCTGTCACCTCCTGCCTGTCATCTCCTGTATGTCATCTCCTGTCTGTCACCTCCTGTCTGTCATCTCCTGTCTGTCACCTCCTGTCTGTCATCTCCTGTATGTCACCTCCTGTCTGTCATCTCCTGTATGTCACCTCCTGTCTGTCATCTCCTGTATGTCACCTCCTGTCTGTCATCTCCTGTCTGTCACCTCCTGTCTGTCATCTCCTGTCTGTCATCTCCTGTCTGTCACCTCCTGTCTGTCACCTCCTGTATGTCTACTCCTGTCTGTCACCTCCTGTATGTCATCTCCTGTATGTCATCTCCTGTCTGTCATCTCCTGTCTGTTACCTCCTGTATGTCATCTCCTGTATGTCATCTCCTGTATGTCATCTCCTGTATGTCATCTCCTGTATGTCACCTCCTGTATGTCATCTCCTGTATGTCACTTCTTGTCTGTCACCTCCTGTATGTCATCTCCTGTATGTCATCTCCTGTATGTCATCTCCTGTATGTCACCTCCTGTCTGTCATCTCCTGTCTGTCATCTCCTGTCTGTCATCTCCTGTATGTCACCTCCTGTCTGTCATCTCCTGTCTGTCACCTCCTGTCTGTCATCTCCTGTCTGTCATCTCCTGTATGTCATCTTTTGTCTGTCATCTCCTGTATGTCATCTCCTGTCTGTCATCTCCTGTCTGTCATCTCCTGTATGTCACCTCCTGTCTGTCATCTCCTGTCTGTCACCTCCTGTATGTCACCTCCTGTCTGTCATCTCCTGTCTGTCACCTCCTGTATGTCATCTCCTGTATGTCATCTCCTGTATGTCATCTCCTGTATGTCACCTCCTGTCTGTCATCTCCTGTCTGTCACCTCCTGTCTGTCATCTCCTGTCTGTCATCTCCTGTATGTCATCTTTTGTCTGTCATCTCCTGTATGTCATCTCCTGTATGTCATCTCCTGTATGTCATCTCCTGTATGTCATCTCCTGTATGTCACCTCCTGTCTGTCATCTCCTGTATGTCATCTCCTGTATGTCACCTCCTGTATGTCATCTCCTGCCTGTCACCTCCTGTATGTCACCTCCTGTATGTCATCTCCTGTCTGTCACCTCCTGTATGTCATCTCCTGTATGTCATCTCCTGTATGTCATCTCCTGTATGTCATCTCCTGTATGTCACCTCCTGCCTGTCATCTCCTGTATGTCACCTCCTGCCTGTCATCTCCTGTGTGTCACCTCCTGTCTGTCATCTCCTGTATGTCACCTCCTGCCTGTCATCTCCTGTATGTCACCTCCTGCCTGTCATCTCCTGTGTGTCATCTCCTGTATGTCATCTCCTGTCTGTCATCTCCTGTCTGTCATCTCCTGTCTGTCATCTCCTGTGTGTCACCTCCTGTCTGTCATCTCCTGTCTGTCATCTCCTGTCTGTCATCTCCTGTCTGTCATCTCCTGTCTGTCATCTCCTGTCTGTCATCTCCTGTGTGTCACCTCCTGTCTGTCATCTCCTGTCTGTCATCTCCTGTCTGTCATCTCCTGTCTGTCATCTCCTGTCTGTCATCTTTTGTCTGTCATCTCCTGTATGTCATCTCCTGTATGTCATCTCCTGTATGTCATCTCCTGTATGTCATCTCCTGTATGTCATCTCCTGCCTGTCATCTCCTGCCTGTCACCTCCTGTATGTCATCTCCTGTCTGTCATCTCCTGTATGTCATCTCCTGTATGTCATCTCCTGTATGTCACTTCTTGTCTGTCACCTCCTGTTTGTCATCTCCTGTATGTCATCTCCTGTATGTCATCTCCTGTATGTCATCTCCTGTATGTCACCTCCTGTCTGTCATCTCCTGTATGTCACTTCTTGTCTGTCACCTCCTGTTTGTCATCTCCTGTATGTCATCTCCTGTATGTCATCTCCTGTATGTCATCTCCTGTCTGTCACCTCCTGCCTGTCATCTCCTGTATGTCATCTCCTGTCTGTCATCTCCTGTCTGCCATCTTCTGTATGTCACTTCTTGTCTGTCATCTCCTGCCTGTCAACTCCTGTATGTCACCTCCTGTATGTCATCTCCTGTCTGTCATCTCCTGTCTGTCATCTCCTGTCTGTCATCTCCTGTCTGTCACCTCCTGTCTGTCATCTCCTGTATGTCATCTCCTGCCTGTCATCTCCTGTCTGTCACCTCCTGCCTGTCATCTCCTGTATGTCATCTCCTGTCTGTCACCTCCTGTCTGTCATCTCCTGTCTGTCACCTCCTGTCTGTCATCTCCTGTATGTCACCTCCTGTCTGTCATCTCCTGTATGTCACCTCCTGTCTGTCATCTCCTGTATGTCACCTCCTGTCTGTCATCTCCTGTCTGTCACCTCCTGTCTGTCATCTCCTGTCTGTCATCTCCTGTCTGTCATCTCCTGTATGTCACCTCCTGTATGTCATCTCCTGTCTGTCATCTCCTGTATGTCATCTCCTGTCTGTCATCTCCTGTCTGTCATCTCCTGTCTGTCATCTCCTGTATGTCACCTCCTGTCTGTCATCTCCTGTATGTCACCTCCTGTCTGTCATCTCCTGTATGTCACCTCCTGTCTGTCATCTCCTGTATGTCACCTCCTGTATGTTACCTCCCTTCTTTCACCTCCTGCCTTCTATCTGTAAGCTGTCTGTTGTTTTGTTGACAGAAAAAGTTTGTTGGAAAGACAAGAAGACAATTTTTTTTTGACACCATTGGCTGAGGAAGGGGGTAAGTCAATTCATCTGCAGCCATCTGCATGTTTCTATCTATGTCTGTATGTAGCAGTCTTATCTCTGTTTGTCTGTAGCTATTAGAACTATATATCTGCATTGTTGTACTGGTATCAACAAGCCATTTTTTTTTTAGCTCCTGGTCAGGTAATGGATATATCTTATAGAAGCTTGAGTGGCCAGATTTTAAGCCAAGCTTTGGAAGAAAAAGTCTCAAGTCCCAATAGACTGGCAGTTGTACAAGGCTCATATGCAGCTCTTCTGATGGGATTTCCACAAATGGTAGGTGTTGTTTAATCTTTTAAAGTCATTTGGTTTGGTCCTTTAAAGTCAACTTGTTTGGTCCTTTAAAGCCATTTGGTTTGGTCCTTTAAAGTCAACTTGTTTGGTCCTTTAAAGCCATTTGGTTTGGTCCTTTAAAGCCATTTGGTTTGGTCCTTTAAAGCCATTTGGTTTGGTCCTTTAATGTCAACTTGTTTGGTCCTTGAAAGTCATGTTGATTTATCTTGAAACTTAACGCCCTCTTATTAATTCTCATGACACAATGGCTTCAAATTTGTGACGTGACACAATGGCTTCAAATTTGTGACGTGACACAATGGCTACAAATTTGTGACGTGACACAATGGCTACAAATTTGTGACGTGACACAATGGCTACAAATTTGTGACGTGACACAATGGCTACAAATTTGTGACATGACACAATGGCTACAAATTTGTGACGTGACACAATGGCTACAAATTTGTGACGTGACACAATGGCTACAAATTTGTGACATGACACAATGGCTACAAATTTGTGACATGACACAATGGCTACAAATTTGTCACATGACACAATGGCTACAAATTTGTGACATGACACAATGGCTTCAAATTTGTCACATGACACAATGGCTACAAATTTGTGACATGACACAATGGCTACAAATTTGTCACATGACACAATGGCTACAAATTTGTGACATGACACAATGGCTTCAAATTTGTCACATGACACAATGGCTACAAATTTGTCACATGACACAATGGCTTCAAATTTGTCACATGACACAATGGCTACAAATTTGTCACATGACACAATGGCTACAAATTTGTCATATGACACAATGGCCACAAATTTGTCACATGACACAATGGCTACAAATTTGTCACATGACACAATGGCCACAAATTTGTGACGTGACACAATGGCTACAAATTTGTCACATGACACAATGGCTACAAATTTGTCACATGACACAATGGCTACAAATTTGTCATATGACACAATTGCTATAAATTTGTCACATGACACAATGGCTACAAATTTGTCACATGACACAATGGCTACAAATTTGTCACATGACACAATGGCTACAAATTTGTCACATGACACAATGGCTACAAATTTGTCATATGACACAATGGCTACAAATTTGTGATGCGACACAATGGCTACAAATTTTAGACATGACACAATGGCCACAAATTTGTCACATGACACAATGGCTACAAATTTGTCACATGATGCAATAGCAGTTGTTTTCTGTCTCCTAGAGCTCAACAGATGTTTTTGTGTCTCCCCGGCCAAGAGTTCCTGAAGGAAACAGCCAAACTGATCTGTTTGGAATCACGTCCAAACCAAAAGTGGTCAACACAGACAGATCTGTTGCCAGCTTGCCAGAGGCTGGCCAAGTCATTCATGCTTTGCCTGTTAGGCAAGTCCCTCAAGAGGTCAAATCCAATGGTAGGTACACATCTTTTCTCTGGCCATATTTGATTGGGCTAGTGATGGATTGGGCTAGTGATGGATTGGGCTAGTGATGGATTGGGCTAGTGATGGATTGGGCTAGTGATGGATTGGGCTAGTGATGGATTGGGCTAGCGATGGATTGGGCTAGTGATGGATTGGGCTAGCTATGGATTGGGCTAGCGATGGATTGGGCTAGTGATGGATTGGGCTAGTGATGGATTGGGCTAGCGATGGATTGGGCTAGTGATGGATTGGGCTAGTGATGGATTGGGCTAGCGATGGATTGGGCTAGCGATGGATTGGGCTAGCGATGGATTGGGCTAGCGATGGATTGGGCTAGCGATGGATTGGGCTAGCGATGGATTGGGCTAGTGATGGAAATGTTCAGTTAGGTCTGCTCATCTCTTGTCATTTGGTTACAGATCTCAACCAATCAGCTTTGAGTGGTTATTTGGAAGTAGCAGATGTAGCCAATCACAAGCTTTGCTACATTCCAATACCAGGGTATGTGTGTTTACTTGATTGAATTGAACTCAGCATATTTTTTTTAGATTGTATCAAGACAAGATAAGTTTTTACTTCCTCAGAGTATAAAGAATTGTAATTGTTCACAAAAATTCCATCAGATTTTGACTTTACTTCCCTTCTTTTTCATATTAGGAGTATAAAGGATGTATTCATTGTAAACAACTTACACACTGTATTTTCTTGTATGAGTATGAAGGATGTATTCATTGTAAACAACTTATACACTGTATTTTCTTGTATGAGTATGAAGGATGTATTCTAAATTTGCGAGAAATCTAAATTGAGATTACTTCAAATCTTGATTTTTACGTGTCTTTGAGTCAGAAAAGGAATTTTGCCCATGTGTTGCTTGTGTGTTTGTCTATGTGGTTGTCTGTTTGTGAACACCAGAATGTGGCTAAAATTTGATTCTGTTGACAAAATTTCATATGTAAGTATTATAAGTATTGAAGTGTACTTTTTTTTACTTCCTTTTCAAAAGCCGATAATTTGAGTAGGTTACCATTTAAGTTAGGTGGACAAAATTGTACACAAAAATATTAAATTACATGTGCAGGTTTCTGTCAACTTTTGGAAGATTATCAGTAAAAAAAAAACAGCTGAAGTTGAACACCATTATTTCCATGTGAAAACTATAATTTGAGTATTGTTTCAGTTAGGTAGATGAAATTTCATATAAATGTATTTTTAAAGCCGTAAAATCTAAGAACTTTTTGCCTCTATGTGTTGTCTTGAACACCAGAAGTTTTGTCACCAACTTCTATAGTTCTCTAGCCTGAATACACTGAAAGTTCTACCCCAACACTTATTGTTTAAAAGAATATACTAACAACTTTAAGGGAGATCACTCCTGTTCTATTTTAGTTGATTTAATTAAGCCAATGTGTGTGTTTTTTTTTCAAGATAGAAAAAAATGTCTCTGGTTAGTCCTAAACAGATTTCCCCCTATGCCTCCTGGCTGTTCAACACTTCTGACTGTAATGTGTGGATCGCACCAACCTCCAGTCAAGGACTGGTTTCTGTGGACATTGGGGGCGCTGTGAGGTTTTGGGAGACAGTGCCAGCCAAATTAGAAGCTTCCCTTAAAGACTGGAGAAATATGCTGGGCTATGAGGAGAGCAAGCCTTTACAGGTACTTTTTCTCAACCAAATTTTAAACCCAGCCCTAACCCCAGCCCTAACCCTAAACCTAGCCCAAACCAACTCCATTTCTAAATCCCAAGCTATAATTCTTGTTGTAACAAAAGACAATATATCCCAAACTATAATTCTTGTTGTAACAAAAGACAATATATCCCAAGCTAATTCTTGTTGTAACAAAAGACAATATATCCTAAGCTATAATTCTTGTTGTAACAAAAGACAATATATCCCAAACTATAATTCTTGTTGTAACAAAAGACAATATATCCCAAGCTATAATTCTTGTTGTAAAAAAAGACAATATATCCCAAGCTAATTCTTGTTGTAACAAAAGACAATATATCCCAAGCTATAATTCTTGTTGTAAAAAAAGACAATATATCCCAAGCTAATTCTTGTTGTAACAAAAGACAATATATCCCAAGCTATAATTCTTGTTGTAACAAAAGACAATATATCCCAAACTATAATTCTTGTTGTAACAAAAGACAATATATCCCAAGCTATAATTCTTGTTGTAAAAAAAGACAATATATCCCAAGCTAATTCTTGTTGTAACAAAAGACAATATATCCCAAGCTATAATTCTTGTTGTAAAAAAAGACAATATATCCCAAGCTAATTCTTGTTGTAACAAAAGACAATATATCCCAAGCTATAATTCTTGTTGTAACAAGACAATATATCCCAAGCTATAATTCTTGTTGTAAAAAAAGACAATATATCCCAAGCTAATTCTTGTTGTAAAAAAAGACAATATATCCCAAGCTATAATTCTTGTTGTAACAAAAGACAATATATCCCAAGCTATAATTCTTGTTGTAACAAAAGACAATATATCCCAAGCTAATTCTTGTTGTAACAAAAGACAATATATCCCAAGCTAATTCTTGTTGTAACAAAAGACAATATATCCCAAGCTAATTCTTGTTGTAACAAAAGACAATATATCCCAAGCTAATTCTTGTTGTAACAAGACAATATATCCCAAGCTAATTCTTGTTGTAACAAAAGACAATATATCCCAAGCTAATTCTTGTTGTAACAAAAGACAATATATCCCAAGCTATAATTCTTGTTGTAACAAAAGACAATATATCCCAAGCTAATTCTTGTTGTAACAAAAGACACTATATCCCAAGCTAATTCTTGTTGTAACAAAAGACAATATATCCCAAGCTATAATTCTTGTTGTAACAAAAGACAATATATCCCAAGCTATAATTCTTGTTGTAAAAAAAGACAATATATCCCAAGCTATAATTCTTGTTGTAACAAGACAATATATCCCAAGCTAATTCTTGTAAGATAAAGATTTCAATGAACGTTTCAGTTGAGTGTGGAACGTGAGAGTGGGAGGGACCATGAAGACATTGATGTCAAACATGGCAAGGAAGATCCTCTCAACACCCCCCACATTGGAGGCAACACATGGGCTGGTGGAGTAGGTTGGTTCAGCTGACCACTAGATGGCTCTCCATTTCTCATGTCTTTACATAGGGCTGTTATATGTATGTATAGGTGGCTGATGTATATCTAGATATCACATGTTGTCCTGCTCATACATTTGGCTTTCTGTAAGTTTTTATGACAGTGTTCAGGTGAGTTCAACTTGGACAGTGTTCAGGTGAGTTCAACTTGGACAGTGTTCAGGTGAGTTCAACTTGGACAGTGTTCAGGTGAGTTCAACTTGGACAGTGTTCAGGTGAGTTCAACTTGGACAGTGTTCAGGTGAGTTCAACTTGGACAGTGTTCAGGTGAGTTCAACTTGGACAGTGTTCAGGTGAGTTCAACTTGGACAGTGTTCAGGTGAGTTCAACTTGGACAGTGTTCAGGTGAGTTCAACTTGGACAGTGTTCAGGTGAGTTCAACTTGGACAGTGTTCAGGTGAGTTCAACTTGGACAGTGTTCAGGTGAGTTCAACTTGGACAGTGTTCAGGTGAGTTCAACTTGGACAGTGTTCAGGTGAGTTCAACTTGGACAGTGTTCAGGTGAGTTCAACTTGGACAGTGTTCAGGTGAGTTCAACTTGTTTTCTTGTGCAGGTGGGAGTGGCACAGCTGGTCTGGGAGGGTTTGGTGGCCCGTACCGTCTGGACGCTGGAAATCAGGTTTTTCAGGTGCCGCAGTGGGAGAAAGATGCTGTACCAGAACATGTAAGTCCTTACAATACTCTAATCTTTTAGTATTTAGTTAATTTAGTCCTTACCAATATTCTTAGAACAATACTTGTAGATTCTTAAAAAAACAAAAGTATTTCAAACTTGTCAGTCCTTAAATTCCTTGAGATTGACGAAATACAATTTGTTTCAGATACGTCAAGCTGCTAGAGAAATGGCCCAGAAAGCTTATTTACAAAGGTTCTTTCTACAAATGTTTTTACGTTCACTCGTATCACCTTTTTATTTTCTTGTATACAGAATATAGAGAAAGTATTGTAATCATACAGAATATAAAGGATGCATTATACTATTAGTCATGCAGAATCTGAATCAAAATTTTGACAAAGTTTGACATTTTATAACCTTCAGAAGTTGGAAAAACTTAAGTTATGCCATCCTGTCCATCTGTGTGTGTGTCTGTAAACACAGTAACCTTGAGTACCATTTCAGTTATAATGACCGAATTTTGTATATAAGTGTTATATCAAATTTATAAGGTTCTTTCAACTTTTAATCGATTTCTGCTAACCGGAAGTGATTAGTGTTCTACTTCCAGTATTTCTGCTAACCGGAAGTGATTAGTGTTCTACTTCCAGTATTTCTGCTAACCGGAAGTGATTAGTGTTCTACTTCCAGTATTTCTGCTAACCGGAAGTGATTAGTGTTCTACTTCCAGTATTTCTGCTAACCGGAAGTGATTAGTGTTCTATTTCCAGTATTTCTGCTAACTGGAAGTGATTAGTGTTCTACTTCCAGTATTTCTGCTAACCGGAAGTGATTAGTGTTCTACTTCCAGTATTTCTGCTAACCGGAAGTGATTAGTGTTCTACTTCCAGTATTTCTGCTAACCGGAAGTGATTAGTGTTCTACTTCCAGTATCTCAAAAGCTGATAACTTGTGTATCATTAAAACTAGAGAGACAAAATTCTAAGTATAAGAATTGTATTAGAATGTCAAGTTTTGTACAATTTCCAGTAACTGTAAGTGGTTTGGAACACAATAACCTGAATACTGTTTGATTGAAGTAGACAAAATGTTATCTAACTCTAAGATCTTATTCTTGGATTACTTTTTGACTGACCTACATACTTTATTTTCTAAAACACATATAACATAAGTAGCGTTTTATTTTGTTGATTTAAATTCTGTAAATAGGTAAAAAAAGATCTTGTGTGGCCATAAAGTTGGCCATGCTGTATTTGTGTGGCCATAAAGTTGGCCATTCTGTTTTTGTGTAGCCATAAAGTTGGCCACGCTGTATTTGTGTGGCCATAAAGTTGGCCATGCTGTATTTGTGTGGCCATAAAGTTGGCCATGCTGTATTTGTGTAGCCATAAAGTTGGCCATTCTGTATTTGTGTGGCCATAAAGTTGGCCATGCTGTATTTGTGTGGCCATAAAGTTGGCCATGCTGTATTTGTGTGGCCATAAAGTTGGCCATGCTGTATTTGTGTGGCCATAAAGTTGGCCATGCTGTATTTGTGTAGCCATAAAGTTGGCCATTCTGTATTTGTGTGGCCATAAAGTTGGCCATGCTGTATTTGTGTGGCCATAAAGTTGGCCATGCTGTATTTGTGTGGCCATAAAGTTGGCCATGCTGTATTTGTGTGGCCATAAAGTTGGCCATGCTGTATTTGTGTTGCCATAAAGTTGGCCATGCTGTTTTTGTGTGGCCATAAAGTTGGCCATGCTGTATTTGTGTAGCCATAAAGTTGGCCATTCTGTATTTGTGTGGCCATAAAGTTGGCCATGCTGTATTTGTGTGGCCATAAAGTTGGCCATGCTGTTTTTGTGTGGCCATAAAGTTGGCCACGCTGTATTTGTGTGGCCATAAAATTGGCCATGCTGTATTTGTGTGGCCATAAAGTTGGCCATGCTGTATTTGTGTAGCCATAAAGTTGGCCATGCTGTATTTGTGTAGCCATAAAGTTGGCCACGCTGTATTTGTGTAGCCATAAAGTTGGCCATGCTGTATTTGTGTGGCCATAAAGTTGGCCACGCTGTATTTGTGTGGCCATAAAGTTGGCCATGCTGTATTTGTGTGGCCATTCTGTATTTGTGTAGCCATAAAGTTGGCCATGCTGTACATTGTGACAGTTCAGTAGTACTATGTTGTTTAGATGAGTACTTATGAAGCACTATTGGCTTTAGATTAAAAGAAATCAAAATGAGCCCATATGATGGCCAGCTGTACAACAGATACTCCAGTAACATCAGACGGCAGGTCCAGAGTCTTCGTCTCATACTGGACTCACTTCAGGTCAGTTGCTGCTTTTAGACTCCACTTCAGGTCAGTTGCTGGTCTTAGACTCCACTTCAGGTCAGTTGCTGGTCTTAGACTCCACTTCAGGTCAGTTGCTGGTCTTAGACTCCACTTCAGGTCAGTTGCTGGTCTTAGACTCCACTTCAGGTCAGTTGCTGCTCTTGGACTCCGATCTCACACTGTATGTGCTTTACCTATTTGTATAAACAAATTTTTTTAAACCATAGTTATAAAATGCTAAAATTCATGAGTCAAAACTATTTTCTGCTGACAAGTGGCAATGAATTTTAAAAAAGTAAATTGTAAGTCAATATTTAAGGTTTTAATAAAAAATGAATAGGCATACTCTATATTAATACATTCTGTTCATTCAAAATGAAGTACACTAACAATTGGCTACTTTTAGAAATATTTGCAAAATAAAAACCCAATCAGTATTTTAAACTCTAAAACTGAATGATCTGTCCTTTCCTACACATTCCATCACCACATCTATCTCTTTAGTCTATTGTGGCTTTGAGGTTTGACAACATTCACCTCTCTCATCATGTGCCACTACTAATTAATCTGGAAACAGGGCATTACCCCCCCCCCCCCCTTCCCCAGACATTACCCCCCCCCTGAGTGAATACCACCCTGTCATTTACCCCCTTGCCCAGTACGACATTACCCCCCCCCCCCCCGACTCAGCTTACGGTACAGTTAGGGTTAGATTTAAGGCTAGATTGAGGGTTAGGATTAGGATAAGTGTTATGGTCAAGGTTAGGCTTAAACCAATATCTAGCGTTGGTTTTGGTTTGGTGTTAAGTTTTAGGCTGAGTTGAATGCCTAGGTTTTGGTCTTTTTCTTAAGGTTATGGTTAAGGTAATATATAGATATAGAATTTGAATTAGAGTTAGGATTCTAACTTGAGGGGAGGGGGGGAGGATTCTAACTTGTGGGGAGGGGGGAATTCCCCAGGGGGAATTGACGAGGAAATTGCGTGGTGTGGGGGGGGGGGGTAATTTTCAGGGGGGGGGGTAATGTCCTGTAGCCAATTAATCTACACCTCACGCAACTCATGTGTTGGTACTAATTAATATAATAAGCTGATGTAGTTTACTTAAGCTGATGTAGTTTAGTTAAGCTGATGTAGTTTAGTTTAGCTGATGTAGTTTAGTTTAGCTGATGTAGTTTACTTAAGCTGATGTAGTTTAGTTTAGCTGATGTAGTTTAGTTAAGCTGATGTAGTTTAGTTTAGCTGATGTAGTTTAGTTTAGCTGATGTAGTTAAGTTAAGCTGATGTAGTTTAGTTAAGCTGATGTAGTTTAGTTTAGCTGATGTAGTTTAGTTTAGCTGATGTAGTTTACTTAAGCTGATGTAGTTTAGTTTAGCTGATGTAGTTTAGTTAAGCTGATGTAGTTTAGTTTAGCTGATGTAGTTTAGTTTAGCTGATGTAAAGTTAAGCTGATGTAGTTTAGTTTAGATGATGTGGTTAAGTTAAGCTGATGTAGTTTAGTTTAGCTGATGTAAAGTTAAGCTGATGTAGTTTAGTTAAGCTGATGTAAAGTTAAGCTGATGTAGTTTAGTTAAGCTGATGTGGTTTAGTTTAGCTGATGTAGTTTAGTTTAGCTGATGTAGTTTAGTTAAGCTGATGTAGTTTAGTTTAGCTGATGTGGTTAAGTTAAGCTGATGTAGTTTAGTTAAGCTGATGTGGTTTAGTTTAGCTGATGTAGTTTAGTTAAGCTGATGTAGTTTAGTTAAGCTGATGTGGTTAAGTTAAGCTGATGTAGTTTAGTTTAGCTGATGTAGTTTAGTTTAGCTGATGTAGTTTAGTTTAGCTGATGTAGTTAGGTTAAGCTGATGTAAAGTTAAGCTGATGTAGTTTAGTTTAGCTGATGTGATTAAGTTAAGCTGATGTAGTTTAGTTATGCTGATGTAGTTTAGTTAAGCTGATGTAGTTTAGTTTAGCTGATGTAGTTTAGTTTAGCTGATGTAAAGTTAAGCTGATGTAGTTTAGTTTAGATGATGTGGTTAAGTTAAGCTGATGTAGTTTAGTTTAGCTGATGTAAAGTTAAGCTGATGTAGTTTAGTTTAGCTGATGTAGTTTAGTTAAGCTGATGTAGTTTAGTTTAGCTGATGTAGTTTAGTTTAGCTGATGTAAAGTTAAGCTGATGTAGTTTAGTTTAGATGATGTGGTTAAGTTAAGCTGATGTAGTTTAGTTTAGCTGATGTAAAGTTAAGCTGATGTAGTTTAGTTAAGCTGATGTAAAGTTAAGCTGATGTAGTTTAGTTAAGCTGATGTGGTTTAGTTTAGCTGATGTAGTTTAGTTTAGCTGATGTAGTTTAGTTAAGCTGATGTAGTTTAGTTTAGCTGATGTGGTTAAGTTAAGCTGATGTAGTTTAGTTAAGCTGATGTGGTTTAGTTTAGCTGATGTAGTTTAGTTAAGCTGATGTAGTTTAGTTAAGCTGATGTGGTTAAGTTAAGCTGATGTTGTTTAGTTTAGCTGATGTAGTTTAGTTTAGCTGATGTAGTTTAGTTTAGCTGATGTAGTTAGGTTAAGCTGATGTAAAGTTAAGCTGATGTAGTTTAGTTTAGCTGATGTGATTAAGTTAAGCTGATGTAGTTTAGTTATGCTGATGTAGTTTAGTTAAGCTGATGTAGTTTAGTTTAGCTGATGTAGTTTAGTTTAGCTGATGTAAAGTTAAGCTGATGTAGTTTAGTTTAGATGATGTGGTTAAGTTAAGCTGATGTAGTTTAGTTTAGCTGATGTAAAGTTAAGCTGATGTAGTTTAGTTAAGCTGATGTGGTTTAGTTTAGCTGATGTAGTTTAGTTTAGCTGATGTAGTTTAGTTAAGCTGATGTAGTTTAGTTTAGCTGATGTGGTTAAGTTAAGCTGATGTAGTTTAGTTAAGCTGATGTGGTTTAGTTTAGCTGATGTAGTTTAGTTAAGCTGATGTAGTTTAGTTAAGCTGATGTGGTTAAGTTAAGCTGATGTAGTTTAGTTTAGCTGATGTAGTTTAGTTTAGCTGATGTAGTTTAGTTTAGCTGATGTAGTTAGGTTAAGCTGATGTAAAGTTAAGCTGATGTAGTTTAGTTTAGCTGATGTGGTTAAGTTAAGCTGATGTAGTTTAGTTAAGCTGATGTAGTTTAGTTAAGCTGATGTAGTTTAGTTTAGCTGATGTAGTTTAGTTTAGCTGATGTAAAGTTAAGCTGATGTAGTTTAGTTTAGATGATGTGGTTAAGTTAAGCTGATGTAGTTTAGTTTAGCTGATGTAAAGTTAAGCTGATGTAGTTTAGTTAAGCTGATGTGGTTTAGTTTAGCTGATGTAGTTTAGTTTAGCTGATGTAGTTTAGTTTAGCTGATGTAGTTTAGTTTAGCTGATGTAGTTCAGTTAAGCTGATGTAGTTTAGTTTAGCTGATGTAGTTTAGTTTAGCTGATGTAAGTTTAGTTTAGCTGATGTAGTTTAGTTTAGCTGATGTAGTTTAGTTTAGCTGATGTAGTTTAATTAAGCTGACGTAGTTTAGTTTAGCTGATGTGGTTAAGTTAAGCTGATGTAGTTTAGTTAAGCTAATGTATTTTAGTTTAGCTGTTGTTGTTAAGTTAAGCTGATGTAGTTTAGCTGATGTTGTTTAGTTTAGCTGATGTAGTTTAGTTAAGTTAAGTTGATGTAGTTTAGTTTAGCTGATGTAGTTTAGTTTAGCTGATGTAGTTTAGTTAAGCTGATGTAGTTTAGTTTAGCTGATGTAGTTTAGTTTAGCTGATGTAGTTTAGTTTAGCTGATGTAGTTTAGTTTAGCTGATATAGTTTAGTTAAGCTGATGTTAAGCTGATTTAGTTAAGCTGATGTAGTTTAGTTTAGCTGATGTAGTTTAGTTAAGCTGATGTAGTTTAGTTTAGCTGATGTGGTTAAGTTAAGCTGATGTAGTTTAGTTTAGCTGATGTGAAGTTAAGCTGATGTAGTTTAGTTAAGCTGATGTAGTTTAGTTAAGCTGATGTAAAGTTAAGTTGATGTAGCTAAGTTAAGCTGATGAAGTTAAGCTGATGTAGTTAAGTTAAGCTGATGTAGTTTAGTTTAGCTGATGTGAAGTTAAGCTGATGTAGTTTTGTTAAGCTGATGTTAAGCTGATGAACTTGTGTGTAGTGAGCTAAATAGTTGTGCTGTTGACTGCAAATAATGCTTGTGTCTCTTCTCTTTGCTGTCTGACCAACTTTTGCTTCTGTGATCCTGTGCTCTTCTGTTTGCTGTGGCTCAACAATGGCCCGCTGTTTGTCCCTGCTACACAGTGGGCTCTTTGATTCCTGGGCCGGCTAATATTGACACAAACCAGAGCTCACATTTTCAGCTTGTTCAATCTTAAATAAGCTCATTAACAGTTTCAAAACTATCTGATTAGTATCTTAAAAAACACTGACCTAACTAAATTACTTTTATGGGGGAAAAAGAAAACAATTTCAATTGGTTAGGACTACACACTAGTTTCATAAAAACATGAACTTATCTTACCTACATGAAAAAATGCATAAAAACCGTTTTAATTACAAGCTTTTATGTTATAATTCACTAAAAAAGAGAAAATAAATAATTTTTTAAAATCATATTTAAATACGCTACTATTTAATTAACTATTAAGAAAACATAAGTCACTTTATTATCTATTGGATACTTTTATTAATAGAAGAAACCCATGCTTTTTTTTATAATTATTTAAATAGTAGAGTATTTTAATTATTATTACTTTACACCTACAACCTGAGTGTGTTATTTCACACTTACAACCTGGGTCTGTTATTTCACACTTACAACCTGGGTCTGTTATTTCACACTTACAACCTGGGTCTGTTATTTCACACTTACAACTTGGGTGTGTTATTTCACACTTACAACCTGGGTCTATTATTTCACACTTACAACCTGGGTCTGTTATTTCACACTTACAACTTGGGTCTGTTATTTCACACTTACAACCTGGGTCTGTTATTTCACACTTACAACCTGGGTCTGTTATTTCACACTTACAACTTGGGTGTGTTATTTCACACTTACAACCTGGGTCTATTATTTCACACTTACAACCTGGGTCTGTTATTTCACACTTACAACTTGGGTCTGTTATTTCACACTTACAACCTGGGTCTGTTATTTCACACTTACAACTTGGGTGTGTTATTTCACACCTACAACTTGAGTCTGTTATTTCACACTTACAACCTGGGTCTGTTATTTCACACTTACAATCTGTGTGTGTTATTTCACACTTACAACCTGTGTGTGTTATTTCACACTTACAACCTGGGTCTGTTATTTCACACTTACAACCTGGGTCTGTTATTTCACACTTACAACCTGGGTCTGTTATTTCACACTTACAACTTGGGTGTGTTATTTCACACTTACAACCTGGGTCTATTATTTCACACTTACAACCTGGGTCTGTTATTTCACACTTACAACTTGGGTCTGTTATTTCACACTTACAACCTGGGTCTGTTATTTCACACTTACAACCTGGGTCTGTTATTTCACACTTACAACTTGGGTGTGTTATTTCACACTTACAACCTGGGTCTATTATTTCACACTTACAACCTGGGTCTGTTATTTCACACTTACAACTTGGGTCTGTTATTTCACACTTACAACCTGGGTCTGTTATTTCACACTTACAACTTGGGTGTGTTATTTCACACCTACAACCTGAGTCTGTTATTTCACACTTACAACCTGGGTCTGTTATTTCACACTTACAATCTGTGTGTGTTATTTCACACTTACAACCTGTGTGTGTTATTTCACACTTACAACCTGGGTCTGTTATTTCACACTTACAATCTGTGTGTGTTATTTCACACTTACAACCTGTGTGTGTTATTTCACACTTACAATCTGGGTCTGTTATTTCACACTTACAACCTGGGTCTGTTATTTCACACTTACAACCTGGGTCTGTTATTTCACACCTACAACCTGGGTCTGTTATTTCACACTTACAATCTGGGTCTGTTATTTCACACTTACAATCTGAGTGTGTTATTTCACACTTACAACCTGGGTCTGTTATTTCACACTTACAACCTGGGTCTGTTATTTCACACCTACAACCTGGGTCTGTTATTTCACACTTACAATCTGGGTCTGTTATTTCACACTTACAATCTGAGTGTGTTATTTCACACTTACAACCTGGGTCTGTTATTTCACACTTACAACCTGGGTCTGTTATTTCACACTTACAACCTGGGTCTGTTATTTCACACTTACAATCTGTGTGTGTTATTTCACACTTACAACCTGTGTGTGTTATTTCACACTTACAATCTGGGTCTGTTATTTCACACTTACAACCTGGGTCTGTTATTTCACACTTACAACCTGGGTCTGTTATTTCACACCTACAACCTGGGTCTGTTATTTCACACTTACAATCTGGGTCTGTTATTTCACACTTACAATCTGAGTGTGTTATTTCACACTTACAACCTGGGTCTGTTATTTCACACTTACAACCTGGGTCTGTTATTTCACACTTACAACCTGGGTCTGTTATTTCACACCTACAACCTGAATGTGTTATGTGCTTTTTATTGTGCTGACAGGCTAAAGGCAAGGAGCGCCAGTGGATGAAACACCAATCTTCTGGAGAGTTGGATGACAGCAAACTCATTGACGGCCTGACTGGTGAACAGTTTATTTATAAAAGAAGGGGAGAGAAGGATCCAGAGGTATTAAATCTCCAACTTTACCAAGTAGATTTGTTAACGTACCATGTAGATTCGTAAAGTTACCAAGAAGATTTGTTAACGTACCAATAGATTTGTCAACGTACCAATAGATTTGTCAACGTAACATATTGGAAACTAACCAAGTAGAATTGTAAATTTACCAAGTAGAACTTAATCTTAAGATCTTTCTTGAAATTCTATTCAGTAACCTAAAATAGTGATAAAATAAATAATCATTAGCAAACATTACTACTCTGTTGGGCTTTTAAATTAAACTTTCAAAGTGATGTCGATTTTTAATTATAGCAGTATTTTAAAGTACTGAAAACCCTATTTTTTATAAATTCAGCCCCATTTTTATTTCAAAAGGATAAATACTAACATAGTAAAGACTGGCTTAATTTAGTGACTGTTGCGCACCTGTTTTGAACACGCTGTGCAAAAAGTAAAAATTGAACAAAAAGATCTATTCTAATAATTTGAAATAGCTGCATACCCGTGCTCCGCGATGGTAGATCTTTTTTAAATGTACCAACTAGGGGGAAAAAAAAACTAAACACAAACACAAAGGAAACACAAACAAAAAAGAAAACACAAACACATAAGAAAACACAACAGAAACATTATGCAAACTCTAACACAAACAAACAAACAAAACACACAAATACTACAGAAAACACAAATGCAAGCATAAAAAAACAAACACAATCGCATAACATAAACAACTTAAATGGAAACATAAGCACATAGGGCTCAGAGTCTAGCTCGGGGCGCTAAATCGCACTCAACCAGGACGACAGCTGAAGCGTCTGCCTTATCTTAGTACACGACTATAATATCCCAACTTATCCATAAAATTAACAAAAGGCAATATCCGTGTTTTACCTACCATGGTGCATTTTATCAATCCATGCCAATTATAATATTTTAACAATAATGTCCTCTTGCACGTCCGCAGAATTTGCATTTACATTTTTTTTATTAGTGTGTTGAATTTCTTTTTAAATTACCTTCACTGGGAAAATTATAAAAGATTTTAATTAATTAGTTTTTTTTACCCTACTGTTATTAAAATGTATCCAATTTTTTCTAGTTATCCAAGTGAAAGTATTATTTGACATTGATCTGTTAAATATGTTTTAGGATTGTGCATTTATTTAATATTTTATTTACGTTATGCGAAAGAGTAAAAACAGTGCCAAGTATACAAATAATTTTAGTCGTTATATAAATAAACCCTACCCATCTATTTATAATAAGACACTGTGATGCAAGTAAAAAGCACTACATGTTGGGGTGGATACTTTTATGGTTCCAAAATCTCTAGCGATGACGGACTGACACACTACCACTAGCATTATTTTATAGATAATGAACCTCTATTGGGAAGCAACTGGTATTGGTGCCATGAAGTGCATCCCTAACCAATCTATATATATAATTCTCTTCTGAGATCAGTTAGAAAACAAGCTGCAAGCGCGCCTTTGCAGTCCCCTCTCTTCCTCTCTATCACTATCACTACCACCCCCACCCCACCCCCACATGATCTGGTGAGCGGTGTTCACTCTGTTTACATTTTACAATCACAGAGACGGGTTTGGTGACGGCTATTAGGGGCAGATAATTTAGTTTGAAACGATTTTAAACTTAGAGGAGGCTGCTTTCACGTGGCGGGGGGGGGGGGGGGGGTAGTGTTTTTAAGCAAATATTTTCAATGGCAGCATTGGTACTGTCGAATTCACAAATTATAAATTACTGAAAAGTAGAAAAAAAACAACTTAATAGCGGCGTATGATACGCAGCGGGTCAGCTCGTAGCTTTTATTTCACTCAAACATCCAAAAACGGAGCAGTATGATTTACCAAGTCTTATTTTTAAGCATTTTGAAATTTAAAAACACTTACCCAATCTCAATTTAAATAATAACTAGTTAATTATGCAGCTTTGTTGGGCTTTTAAACAAAAAATAATAAGTAGAATCCGATTTATAATCATAGAAACATTATAAATTATAAAATTGTCTAATTTAGTTTTCAAATTTAGAAGAATTTAATATGTCACCTATATGGCATATGCAAATATCAGAAAAATTGAAATCTTGAAAAAAATTAAAATTATCACTGCATTTAGCCAGAAATTGCGTGAAAACCTTCCCAGTGTTATAATGCTCCTGTGTTGCAAAAATGAATCCAATCTGTTCAGCTGTTAGAATTTCTTTAACAGCCAATGTTGGCCCCAGCTGGCACCACTTTTGCCTTTATTTATTATGTATATATATATATATATATATATATATATATATATATATATATATATATATATATATATATATATATATATATATATATATATATATATATATATATATATATATAGGCCTATATATAAAACAGGGTCCAAAAATTATATTGTAGTGGCGTTTTTTTTTCTAGAACTGTTAATGAATTTTGTACAAGTAATTGTAAACTAATGATGTAAAGACAAGTGTAAACTAATGATGTAAAGACAAGTGTAAACTAAGCAAGTCTCCAACTGGCAGATGGGCTCACCCCAAGAACTCCCCAAAAGATTGCGTCTGCTTGTTGATGTATCAGGCAGCATGTACCGATTTGATGGTCAAGACTCACGGCTGACCAGGCAAATGGAAGCTGTACTAATGGTGATGGAAGCTTTTGAGACATACGAAGACAAATTTAAGGTCAGTACGTTTCTTGATGAGCACTACAGTGGTATCAGCCATTTCTGATAAGAGGAATTTGATGATTATTGTGGAAATGGATAAAAGAAATGATTATTTAGCGATTTTGTATTCCAAGTAGCCTTAAAAAAATTATAATTGAGAAAAAACCTTATGCTTTAATATTTACCACATAGTTATGACTCAAGGGGTTTTGTGTAAAAATGACAAAAAACGACCGAAAATTTTATGCCGTTGCCATGGTGATGGCGACCATCAAGGAATTTTTATTACCTTTTTAACATCGAAATAACTCAAATAATAACTTGCAGGACTATAGAGATACATGTTGGTAACAATCGTGATAGATTACATTTTCAAATTGTATAATACTTTTGTTTTTACTATTTCTTTTCTGAAAATCACTTTTTAAACATTGAAATTTGTGCAAAAAATACACCATTTTAACTGTAAAAGAAAAAACATACACTTTTTCAAAAACCTGTTATATCAGTTTTGTTGGTATGTGTATACAGAATAACTAGAGAAAATTTTGATACATTTTAATAATAATTAAGAAAGTTATTTCAATGTTAAAATTGTAAAAAAAAATCCAAGATGGCCACCATGGCAATGGCAGGAAATTTTCAGCCATTTTTTATGTTTATTTGAGTCATAACTCTATGCTAAATATTATAGCAAGGCATTAGGTTGAGAAATAAGCATTTGGGTTATTTTGGTTTTCATCACCCGCCCATGTCTTTAAGAGGATTTCATTTCTCTATCTCATTTCTGGTCAATATTTGAAATGTATTCTTTGTAACGTCAGCATGTTTAATTTTATCTTGTTAGTGATGTTTGTTTAATTTTACCATATAATCATGAAAGAAAACCCAATGTTGAACATGTTTGTAACAACAAAAAAGTCTACTTCAGATTGTATGAAAATGCTCTAGAAAAAGCAATCAAAGTTTTTATACTAAGGCTGCAAATGTTTTTTTAACTATTAAATAGACCCACCTGTTGAATGCCATTTGAGTTACAGGTACAATTCAACAAACATGTGTAACTAGGTCTTGTCTCCAGACTATATGCTAGCTTAACATTCAATGAGTACCTGGTGCTTCTACAGTAGTGTAATCAATGGCTTCTGAGAATAGAGAAAGTATTGAAATCGTGCCAAAAAAAAAATCGAGATTTTTGCAAATCTCTACGTTTTACAGCTCCCTGAGTCGGAAATTTATAGTTTTGCAATCTTGTCTGTATGTGTGGATGTGTGTGTGTGTCTGTAAACACGATAACTTTAGTACCGTTACAGCTAGGTTGATGAAATTTCATATATAAGTATTATATCAAAATCATAGATCCGTATCAACTTTTGAGCAATTTCCGATAACCGGAAGTGGAACTTTTTGTACTTTGAATTTTTCAAAAGCCTATAACTTGGGTGCTATTTCAGATAGATAAATGAAATTTCACTTGTAAGTAAAATATCTAATTCTCTGCCTTCTTTCAAATTTTGAGTAATTTCCGTTGACCGGAAGGAAGTAGTAATTTTCGCTATTTCCGATTTCTCAAAAAACGCATGTGAATTTATAAAGTACTGTTGTTTCATATAAGAAAATTGAAGAAAGTTTAGGGGAGATCACTCCCGGTTTATTTTTCCTTTAGCATTGTTTATCTATGCTTCTTAGTATTGAGCATCACCTCATTGATTTCTTGATGCCTTCAGTATGACATCTATGGCCATTCTGGAGAAACTTACTTGGAGCAATTGGTCAAGTTAGATGGAGCCCCAAAAGACAACAATGAAAGATTAATTGTCCTGAAGAACATGCTAGCACACTCCCAGTTCTGCATCAGTGGTGACAACACACTGGAAGCTGCCAGACACCACATCAGCGCCATCAGCAAGGAGGAGGCTGACGAACACTTTCTTATTTTACTCAGTGATGCTAATTTTGATCGCTATGGCATCCGTCCTTCTAGATTTGGGGAGATTTTAACCTTGGATCAAAAGGTCAAGGCTTTTGCCATTTTTGTTGGATCTTTGGGGGATCAAGCAGTAAGGTAGGAGGCTTTTATTGAATTGATCTTTACTGTCTGACTATTGTCAATTAGGGGGTCGGAGGAGGAGGAGGTTCAAATGTTGTGACGTAACACTTTTGCTGTTATTTCACATTTTAGAAAACTGTTTTAATAAATTATAATAGGAATTGATTAAAATACTCTATGTTGACAGAGTTCAGATCAGATTTTGGGAAAATATTGTATTTTAAGAAAAATTCAACTGCAATTTGAGGGGGGTTGTAGGCTGAGGTGTGACGTCATTTTAGGGGGGCAGGGTTTGGCTTTTTGTGACGATGTGTGACAGGGAGGGGGAAGTAAAAATCGTCAAAAAAAAGCGTGACGTCATTTATGGATGACCCCTTCTCAGTGATGTCCATTGTTAAATAGTTGCACGCATACAGCTAATGGCTACATTTAATAACAGTGCATCTATTGTAAGGCTTAAAATAAGAATACAATGGAAAACAAAAAGGTGAATGGAAACCAAAAAGAATCAGCTTAAGAACAGCACTGAATGTTGACTTTCACCGTAAAGAGAACATTAAAATACATCGTCCACCTTAGAGTTTAGCATGCTTTGCATCCGAGTTTAACTTGGCAGACATTCCAGGTTAACTTTGTCTAAATCACAGTTAAACATGGCCCTTTATAGTTAAACTTGTCCTAAATGACAGGTGGCTAGATGCATATAAAAATAAAAGACATTATATGGTCTAAACCTAACCCCCTGTATAAATGTTGTCTAAACCTAACCCCCTGTATAAATGTTGTCTAAACCTTACCCCCTGTATAAATGTTGTCTAAACCTAACCCCCTGTATAAATGTTGTCTAAACCTAACCCCCTGTATAAATTTTTGTCTAAACCTAACCCCCTGTATAAATGTTGTCTAAACCTAACCTCCTGTATAAATGTTGTCTAAACCTAACCCCCTGTATAAATGTTGTCTAAACCTAACCCCCTGTATAAATGTTGTCTAAACCTAACCCCCTGTATAAATGTTGTCTAAACCTAACCCCCTGTATAAATGTTGTCTAAACCTAACCCCCTGTATAAATGTTGTCTAAACCTAACCCCCTGTATAAATGTTGTCTAAACCTTACCCCCTGTATAAATGTTGTCTAAACCTAACCCCCTGTATAAATGTTGTCTAAACCTAACCCCCTGTATAAATGTTGTCTAAACCTAACCCCCTGTATAAATGTTGTCTAAACCCAAGCCTCAATGCTTTGAATGCTAAACAAGTTGTGGGGCCACCATTTCAGGCTGAACAAGCAGCTTCCCCTGGGCCATTCATATGTTTGTCTGGACACCAAGCAGCTACCTCAGATCCTTCAGCAGATTTTTTCTACCACACTCCTCTCTTCATCATAGACCAGCTGACACAAGATGCCAATCTTTCAGTTTTTTGACATTTGGTTTGTTCATTCATAATGTCAAGTACACAATAAAATAAGACAAATGGAAATCAAGATTTTATTGTCTTTTTAATAAACATCTTTACTAGTGTCATCACCACACCCAGTGACTAAATAGTGGACTGGTGACACCACAGTGACCAAATAGTGGACTGGTGACATCACAGTGACCAAATAGTGGACTGGTGACATCATAGTGACCAAATAGTGGACTGGTGACATCACAGTGACCAAATAGTGGACTGGTGACATCACAGTGACTAAATAGTGGACTGGTGACACCACAGTGACCAAATAGTGGACTGGTGACATCACAGTGACCAAATAGTGGACTGGTGACATCACAGTGACCAAATAGTGGACTGGTGACATCACAGTGACCAAATAGTGGACTGGTGACATCACACCCAGTGACCAAATAGTGGACTGGTGACATCACACCCAGTGACCAAATAGTGGACTGGTGACATCACAGTGACCAAATAGTGGACTGGTGACATCACAGTGACCAAATAGTGGACTGGTGACACCACAGTGACCAAATAGTGGACTGGTGACATCACACCCAGTGACCAAATAGTGGACTGGTGACATCACAGTGACCAAATAGTGGACTGGTGACATCACAGTGACCAAATAGTGGACTGGTGACATCACAGTGACCAAATAGTGGACTGGTGACATCACAGTGACCAAATAGTGGACTGGTGACATCACACCCAGTGACCAAATAGTGGACTGGTGACATCACAGTGACCAAATAGTGGACTGGTGACATCATAGTGACCAAATAGTGAACTGGTGACACCACAGTGACTAAATAGTGGACTGGTGACATCACAGTGACTAAATAGTGGACTGGTGACATCACAGTGACTAAATAGTGGACTGGTGACATCATAGTGACCTAATAGTGGACTGGTGACATCACAGTGAACAAATAGTGGACTGGTGACATCACAGTGACCAAATAGTGGACTGGTGACATCACACCCAGTGACCAAATAGTGGACTGGTGACATCACAGTGACCAAATAGTGGACTGGTGACATCATAGTGACCAAATAGTGGACTGGTGACACCACAGTGATTAAATAGTGGACTGGTGACACCACAGTGACTAAATAGTGGACTGGTGACATCACAGTGACTAAATAGTGGACTGGTGACATCATAGTGACCAAATAGTGGACTGGTGACATCACACCCAGTGACCAAATAGTGGACTGGTGACATCACAGTGACTAAATAGTGGACTGGTGACATCATAGTGACCAAATAGTGGACTGGTGACATCACAGTGACCAAATAGTGGACTGGTGACATCACACCCAGTGACTAAATAGTGGACTGGTGACATCACAGTGACTAAATAGTGGACTGGTGACATCACAGTCACTAAATAGTGGACTGGTGACATCACAGTGACTAAATAGTGGACTGGTGACATCACAGTGACCAAATAGTGGACTGGTGACATCACACCCAGTGACTAAATAGTGGACTGGTGACATCACAGTGACTAAATAGTGGACTGGTGACATCACAGTCACTAAATAGTGGACTGGTGACATCACAGTGACTAAATAGTGGACTGGTGACATCATAGTGACCAAATAGTGGACTGGTGACATCACAGTGACTAAATAGTGGACTGGTGACATCACAGTGACTAAATAGTGGACTGGTGACATCACAGTGACCAAATAGTGGACTGGTGACATCACACCCAGTGACTAAATAGTGGACTGGTGACATCACAGTGACCAAATAGTGGACTGGTGACATCACAGTGACTAAATAGTGGACTGGTGACATCATAGTGACCAAATAGTGGACTGGTGACATCACAGTGACCAAATAGTGGACTGGTGACATCACACCCAGTGACTAAATAGTGGACTGGTGACATCACAGTGACTAAATAGTGGACTGGTGACATCACAGTCACTAAATAGTGGACTGGTGACATCACAGTGACTAAATAGTGGACTGGTGACATCACAGTGACCAAATAGTGGACTGGTGACATCACACCCAGTGACTAAATAGTGGACTGGTGACATCACAGTGACTAAATAGTGGACTGGTGACATCACAGTCACTAAATAGTGGACTGGTGACATCACAGTGACTAAATAGTGGACTGGTGACATCATAGTGACCAAATAGTGGACTGGTGACATCACAGTGACTAAATAGTGGACTGGTGACATCACAGTGACTAAATAGTGGACTGGTGACATCACAGTGACCAAATAGTGGACTGGTGACATCACACCCAGTGACTAAATAGTGGACTGGTGACATCACAGTGACCAAATAGTGGACTGGTGACATCACAGTGACTAAATAGTGGACTGGTGACATCATAGTGACCAAATAGTGGACTGGTGACATCACAGTGACCAAATAGTGGACTGGTGACATCACACCCAGTGACTAAATAGTGGACTGGTGACATCACAGTGACCAAATAGTGGACTAGTGACATCACACCCAGTGACCAAATAGTGGACTGGTGACATCACAGTCACTAAATAGTGGACTGGTGACATCACAGTGACCAAACAGTGGACTGGTGACATCACACCCAGTGACCAAATAGTGGACTGGTGACATCACAGTGACCAAATAGTGGACTGGTAACACCACAGTGACTAAATAGTGGACTGGTGACATCACAGTGACCAAATAGTGGACTGGTGACATCACAGTGACCAAATAGTGGACTGGTGACATCACAGTCACTAAATAGTGGACTGGTGACATCACACCCAGTGACCAAATAGTGGACTGGTGACATCACAGTGACCAAATAGTGGACTGGTGACATCACAGTGACCAAATAGTGGACTGGTGACATCACAGTGACCAAATAGTGGACTGGTGACATCACAGTGACCAAATAGTGGACTGGTGACATCACAGTGACCAAATAGTGGACTGGTGACATCACAGTGACCAAATAGTGGACTGGTGACATCACACCCAGTGACCAAATAGTGGACTGGTGACATCACAGTGACCAAATAGTGGACTGGTGACATCACACCCAGTGACCAAATAGTGGACTGGTGACATCACACCCAGTGACCAAATAGTGGACTGGTGACATCACAGTGACCAAATAGTGGACTGGTGACACCACAGTGACCAAATAGTGGACTGGTGACACCACAGTGACCAAATAGTGGACTGGTGACACCACAGTGACCAAATAGTGGACTGGTGACATCACACCCAGTGACCAAATAGTGGACTGGTGACATCACAGTGACCAAATAGTGGACTGGTGACATCACAGTGACCAAATAGTGGACTGGTGACATCACACCCAGTGACCAAATAGTGGACTGGTGACACCACAGTGACCAAATAGTGGACTGGTGACACCACAGTGACCAAATAGTGGACTGGTGACATCACAGTGACCAAATAGTGGACTGGTGACATCACAGTGACCAAATAGTGGACTGGTGACATCACACCCAGTGACCAAATAGTGGACTGGTGACATCACACCCAGTGACCAAATAGTGGACTGGTGACACCACAGTGACTAAATAGTGGACTGGTGACATCACAGTCACTAAATAGTGGACTGGTGACATCACAGTGACCAAATAGTGGACTGGTGACACCACAGTGACTAAATAGTGGACTGGTAACACCACAGTGACTAAATAGTGGACTGGTGACATCACAGTGACCAAATAGTGGACTGGTGACATCACAGTGACCAAATAGTGGACTGGTGACATCACACCCAGTGACTAAATAGTGGACTGGTGACACCACAGTGACCAAATAGTGGACTGGTGACATCACACCCAGTGACCAAATAGTGGACTGGTGACATCACAGTGACCAAATAGTGGACTGGTGACATCACACCCAGTGACCAAATAGTGGACTGGTGACATCACACCCAGTGACCAAATAGTGGACTGGTGACATCACAGTGACTAAATAGTGGACTGGTGACACCACAGTGACTAAATAGTGGACTGGTGACACCACAGTGACTAAATAGTGGACTGGTAACACCACAGTGACCAAATAGTGGACTGGTGACATCACAGTGACCAAATAGTGGACTGGTGACATCACAGTGACCAAATAGTGGACTGGTGACATCACACCCAGTGACCAAATAGTGGACTGGTGACATCACAGTGACTAAATAGTGGACTGGTGACATCACACCCAGTGACCAAATAGTGGACTGGTGACATCACAGTGACTAAATAGTGGACTGGTGACATCACAGTGACTAAATAGTGAACTGGTGACACCACAGTGACCAAATAGTGGACTGGTGACATCACACCCAGTGACCAAATAGTGGACTGGTGACATCACAGTGACCAAATAGTGGACTGGTGACATCACACCCAGTGACCAAATAGTGGACTGGTGACATCACAGTGACCAAATAGTGGACTGGTGACATCATAGTGACCAAATAGTGGACTGGTGACATCACAGTGACCAAATAGTGGACTGGTGACACCACCGTGACTAAATAGTGGACTGGTGACACCACAGTGACCAAATAGTGGACTGGTGACATCACAGTGACCAAATAGTGGACTGGTGACATCACAGTGACTAAATAGTGGACTGGTGACATCACACCCAGTGAACAAATAGTGGACTGATGACATCACACCCAGTGACTAAATAGTGGACTGGTGACATCACAGTGACTAAATAGTGGACTGGTGACATCACAGTGACCAAATAGTGGACTGGTGACATCACACCCAGTGACTAAATAGTGGACTGCTGACATCACACCCAGTGAACAAATAGTGGACTGGTGACACCACAGTGACCAAATAGTGGACTGGTGACACCACAGTGACCAAATAGTGGACTGGTGACATCACACCCAGTGACTAAATAGTGGACTGGTGACACCACAGTGACCAAATAGTGGACTGGTGACATCACACCCAGTGACTAAATAGTGGACTGGTGACATCACAGTGACCAAATAGTGGACTGGTGACATCACACCCAGTGACCAAATAGTGG